CGTTTGCTGCAATATTCACCTTCAATCCAGAGATTTCCCTCTTAGTACTTTTTTTTCTCCTCAGTCTGATGGTCAGCATCATTCAAACCACTTCCTCTGAGCCCAGGCCATCCTGTGACTGGAGAGTGAAAGGAGAAGCAGCACAGTGATGAGCTCAGTTCTCTGTCACTCTGCTCTCTCCTATCAGCATGCTGATTGGCTCCTTGTACTGCTTTTTCTTCTCGCACCCAAGTCCTGCTCTACAGTCCTGCTGCAAGAGGCTGATACCAGGTCACATTTAGGTACTTACATTTAAAAATATATTTAAATACGTATTAATGATTACAGAGCTGCACTCATCTGTGTTGTTTATATCTGATCAGGGCGCAGCTTTAATAAAGACAAGAATGATTATTCCATTAAAGGAGAACTATGGGGTTAAGGCTTTTCCCCATAGTTCTCCTTAGGGTAACGGGAGGACACAAACCAGCGTCCTCCCGTCACCCTAGGCTCAGTATACGGCAAGCTGTAGCTCGCCGTATACTGAGACGCCGCAGCTGAAGCGGATCCCGACAATTGTGCCGGGATCCGCCCAGCTGCGTGACTGACAGCTGGCTCTGCCTATCTAGAGGCAGAGCCAGCTGTACCCGCCCCTCCCCCGTCCATTCAGCCAGTCAGCGCTGGTGGATCGGAGCGGGGAGGGGGGAATCCAGCCCCTCCCCTGTCACGGCCGTGACAGGATCGAGAGGTGAGCGAGCGCCAGTATGTGTTCGCTCACTTCCCGATCTACTGAGCCAACCTGTGACAGTCTCATTGTCACAGGTCGGCTAGAACTATGAGGTGAGTGAAAAGCACCCCCTCATAGTTCTCCTTTAAAGAAATCACAGCAAACAAATGACGGATCCTTTTATTAAGCAGCTGCATGTGGATTCCAAAGACTTCATCCGTTCAACAAACTGTGAGTATGCGTACTACAAGACCAAATCCTGCAGTCCTTCCACGCGCCATAGTAATGGTGTTGTACTCTAGTCGCCTGATGCTGCAGAAATCTGTTTATATTATATCTTCACTAGAACACAGCATAACAAGTTTGTGTACATCACTTCACTTCCTCAGGCTATAAGTAAACAGGCTGACAGAGTGCAACTTAGATACCAAACAGGAAATAATGTAGCTGACTGTAGCCATAGTAAACGTCTGACTGCAAACAGAGTGACCAGGCAACGAGGAAAGCAAAGAAAATTCTGGCGGAGCATCACTAGAGGGATCCCCAGCAGGAGGAAGGAGGTCCTGATTCCTCTATATAGATCTTTAGTTATCACTAGAGGGATCCCAGCAGGAGGAAGGAGGTGCTGATTTCTCTATATAGATCTTTAGTTATCACTAGAGGGCTCCCCAGCAGGAGGAAGGAGGTCCTGATTCCTCTATATAGATCTTTAGTTATCACTTGAGGGATCTCCAGCAGGAGGAAGGAATTTGTAGAATATACAAGATGGGGTTATGCTGAGTAAATAGATTTCCAACATGACAGGCTTTAAAATTGCATGCTCCCATGAAATGGCAACAAAATTCGATACCCAAAATTGGTCAACGGCAACATTTTAAAAGCCTGTATAGGTTATAAGTTTAGAGTTGCCCATGAATATTGACCCTAGAATTATTGCCCTCACTCTGGTGCAAGCAACAATACCCAATGTGTGTGATGCAATCAGTGTTTTCATATGTAGACACGCCCCCTATGTGACAGCACATTGGAGGTGACAGGTTCTCTTGAAGGTGACCTTAGGGGTCTATAAGACCCCTAAGGTCACCTTTGCACTTCAAAGAAGTTGATCGATTCGGATAACAAAGGCCCCGAGTGAAAATCTGTATCATTTACAACTTTAATCCTCAATTTGTGCCATGTATGCCTGCTGTGTAGACTCACCCAACATACCATGCACCTGTGGGCAGTCTTTGACACCATTTTGATAAAGTAACAATATGCAAGCCAACATGATGGCAGGTGGGAAATCTCATTTGTAATCTCACGAGATCTCAGGGTAAAGCTGCCCATACACAAAACAGAGAAATGAGTTGATCTGACAGAGATCAGCTCAAAGTGCAGCTAGTAAAGAGGGTCGGAGAGTCAAAATGTAGTACACAATCATATAAATGTATTGATTAAAATCTCTTTGGACATACTATGTGCACCAATTCAACCACCACCCGTTGTTCATGTAAAAAAAATAATTTGTTTTTCCGATATAGAATTTTTTGCAGGTGCATTCTATTTGATAGATGACCCGCGCTGTATTGCAATTAATGAAATGACGGATGTCAAAACTGGTGGTGCCTGCTGAATCTACGAATTGCTTGGATTTATGGACAAAAGGGCATATGTGGCATTTGCCACAGGTGTACATCCCTTTGGGTTTTGTTGTCTTGGAAAGCCATGTTTCCTGGGGGCTAGGAATAAATTCCGAAGAGACCAGTTGGTCACAACAGCCAATACAGTGCTCCACGCGAGTAGCCAACATCCGTCTTCCCTGAAACAGGGCATACCTACTGGCTAGTTCCTCCGATTAAAGAGGAACTGTACCTCTTATGACGATTTCAAACTAGAATCAAAAGATAAGTATTGACATTTCAGAGAACGTGGGTACTACCATCGAGCCCTTAGAAGAAGTCTGGCTATAGCTAATAAAAGAACTAGAAAAGATCTCCTCAGTGGTACTAAAAAAGACAAAAAAGATCAAAGGGTCCGTATGATCACCCAATATGGCTCCGGTTGGTCTACCCTTAAACAAACACTAAATAAGCATTGGCACATCCTCCAGCTATGTCCTATTTTGAGGAAAATAGTAGGCTCTTACCCCCTTGTGACTGCCCGACGGGCACGTAACCTACGTGACCAACTGGTCTCTTCGGAATTTATTCCTAGCCCCCTGGAAACATGGCTTTCCAAGACAACTAAACCCAAAGGGATGTATTCCTGTGGCAAATGCCACATATGCCCTTTTGTCCATAAATCCAAGCAATTCGTAGATTCAGCAGGCACCACCAGTTTTGACATCCGTCATTTCAATAATTGCATCTATCAAATAGAATACCCCTGAAAAAAATTCTATATCGGAAAAACAACGCGCGAATTAAAGATAAGAATTGGTGAACATCTAAGGGACATAAGAAATAATGACAAAGAAAGTCCACTTGCACAACATTTCTCGAGATATCATGGAGGACGAACCGCAGGGATAAGGATCAAGGCAATATATGCACTTAAATTGCCAGCACGTAGGGGAGACTTCAATACGGTCTTACTCCAAAAAGAAAAGATGTGGATTTTCAAGTTAAACACCATGACACCACATGGACTTAATAACGAATGCAACCTGCAGGTATTCCTCTGATCCTTATCCCTGTGGTTCTCAACCAACTATTAACTACATTCTTGACTAGGTCACCTCTGCCCCTTATATTCTTATAAAAAATCAGATCATCTCATTTCTCTGTTTTGTGTCTATTTAAAGCAGCTAGGGGTTGTTTCTCTTGATAGTCATTGAACAATCAATACACCCAGTCTAAGGGGATAATTAATTTTGGGTCTGGTTCTCTGGGTAAACCTTTCTCTTTCTAAAGCTGCCCATACACCTTCCAACCATCGCACAACTTTTGACTTGCGATGGTTGTAAGGTGATTCAAATTCCGTACGATCTGCCTATCTTGGACAGGCAGATCGTACTTGCGATCATCGCAAGCCCGCCCCGCTGAGGGGCGGGCTTCCGATGATTGCAGTGCTGAGCGGGCAGTGTGCGCTTGCGCACACCGGCCCGTGCAGCATTTGTCTTCCGAGCACGCCACCAACCCACCGAAAATCATACGATTTCCCGCAGGTTTTCAAGTGTGCTCGAAAGATGAAAGTTGTGCGACCTTACAGTAGAAACGGTCGCACGCTGCCCATACACCTGCCGATTATCATACGATCGCTGGATCACCTGCGATTATCGTAGATAATCGGCAGGTGTATGGGCACCTTTAGTCATTTTCCTCCCCTGAGATGATGTGCATGGTCACATGTCCTAGTCACATGTGCCAGAAAGTCAGGCAGTAATAGGAGAGCTAGTAATCTGCCCTCAGTAAACATGGCCGCTGAAGACTGGGGAAGAAAAGAGAAATAAGAAATGCAAAGAATACAAAGCCGGTAATTATCTAGAAGTATCTGTTTGTAGATTGTCATCACTAAACATTTCTAAAGGTGTGCTTGTTGTTATTTTAACGATTTGGGTAAAGGTCCGCTTTAAGCCCTGAAGTTTAAAAGTGCAGCAATTTTAGAAATTGTCAGTTATACTACAAACCAGTATTTGCAAACAAATAAAAAAAAATTGTTTTTTATGAAGGCCATAGCTTTGGTGACAATCACATCCAAATGTACGATCTGTGTTTAAAGGAGAATTATGGGGACCGTGAAATACATTCATCCTCATAATTAGAGCCGACTTGTGACACTGCAGCTGTCACACATCGGCTCTATTGATCAACAACTGAACGATCGTATAACACTGATTGCTCAGTTCCTCATCTTCTCCCTGAGGAGAGCGGTGATTGTCAGTCACTGCTCCCCACAGCGATTCCCTCCTACCTTCTCTGTTCCTCCAGCGCTGACTGGAGGGACGGATGGGGGAGGAGGCGGGCACAATTCTCTAGAGGCAGAGCCAGCTGTCAATCAAGTGGCAGGGTGGATCACAACAACATTGTTGGGATCTTTCCCCCCAGCAGCGCGGCTCTGCACTGTCATGCTGAGTTTTGCGTCACAGGAGGACATGTCCTCCTGTGACCCTAAAGAGAACTATGGCAAAAAAAGTTTAGGCCATAGTTTTCTTTTAATCTTGACTTGATCAGGTAGTTCGAGCCTTGGATCTGTGTAATTGGTCATGGCCTTGATGGCTACGGCATATTCTTCCATTGCTTGCAAAACCAAGATTATGATCTCATCACCTATGATCTATCTTCGTATCTACCCTCTATGTCCTTTATCAAGTCTCCATCTGGCAGCTTGAGATCATTACAGACGTCACCATTGCCACACAGTAGGGAGAAGTATTCATCACTAATGCCAGTAAGCTGGTAATCATTTTTTTATATTGTGAAAGGGGGGAAATCTCCCCAAACGTTAAATTGATTAGCAACCCCCTTAGATGGGATAGCTTCAATGAGCATATTTATTTCGCAGACCAGCCGGGAACATGCAGTTACTCAGGCACGTTCAAATAATGTGGGTTTGCAGCCCCTTTTATAGGGTTTTGAACAGTAGAACCACCTGTGTTACTTTAAATTATCTCCTAAAATCTGATAATAATGACACCTGTACTCAGATTTAATGGGGTCTTCTTTTCTTGATAAGACTCCTTCATATCAAGTTTAGAGGACAACTGTCTTGGCATTGAACCTATTACTCATTAAACCAAGGTCCCTCATCAAGATTAGAGGGCAGCTGTACATTAAACCAAGGTCAAGAAACATGTTTAGAGATTTAATGTTTAAACTCTTGTTACCTCACCCCATTAGATCTAAGTGTTCTACATGAGCTCTAGTTAACCTTGGCTTACAAAGTTAAATGTTCTACATGAACTCTAATAAACCTCGACACGAATTGCTAAATGTCCCACATGTTTCTTATTCATACAACTCATATGTATGTATTATATGTACATATGGAGTTTCTACTATATATTTGTGTTTCATATACAGTAAATGTAGACATACGTATAAAGCACAATTTATAATGTATTCATTAAGAGAAATGTTATATCATTAACATAATATAAACTTGACAGTGTGATTCAGCAGGGATCATCAGTTTTCCCTATAGAATATTAGGAACATCCATGTTGTGGGTAGATAGACAGATATCTTCATACTTCTTACCAGTGAAGACATCAATGCCAGCAAGGTGACTGTACTTGGAAGTTGACATTTCAACAATTTTGCAGGGTCGAGATTTCAGAACCACAAACCCGTTCTTACATCATCTTAGATATTGGTGGGTGTCTACTTTTACTTCCCACAAAAAAGATCTATAATTTTTTATGAACATGTAGTTTTCCTTTAAAGAAGATGCAAATTCTAACTGAGCTTCTGATCTTCTCTAGCCGAACAGGAGAGAGAAAAAAACAATATGGTGTTCAAACTCCTCCCCACTCTATATTAGGGCTAATAGTGCTATGCAGGCTGTCCCTGGGTTACAAACATCTGATTTACATACGACCACTACTTACAAATGGGGGTGTCAGCAACCCTCACCTCCTGCACATGCGCCAAGTCCTGTTCTCTCGGAGAACACTTACGAGCATGCGCGTACCGCGGACTATCCATAGGAAAACGAGCCAAATGGCGCACCGGAAGTGACGAGCTTAATCAGTTTACTTCCCTATTTAAACCCGGCCTGCACACCTCCAGATTGCTGGATTGTCTTCAGCCCTCGTGTCCCTGTGTCCTGCGATTTCCTGTCCTTGGGAATTACCTGTCTACTGGAATTGACCCGGATATTCCCTATGGCCTCTCCTGCCTGCAGCCTGCCCCCGACCTTGGTTTGATTACTGGACTTGTCTCTCTATGCTCTGGTTTGACCTCGGCCCGAATGACCCTGAATTCCGGATTGGCCCAGTTCTGATACAGAACCAACCTTCAACTTGCATGGTATAACATCACTGGCACCCGTGCCACTCGTTGTCTGCCAGGTCTCTGTCTCCATCTCCAGAGTCCTCAGGACACGAGGTGCAAGGGAAGCCTCCTCACAAAGTCAGTCTCCAACCAGGTACGTGACAGGGGGCCCAGGATGCAGCCAAAGTGTACCGCGCAGCATTTCAGTCATTGTAATGCTACCGTGCTCGTGCCGACGAGGAGTCTCCGCCTTTTTGGGTCTGGTTTGTAGATCTGTACATACATTAGAGGAAGTTGGCTCTTGTTAGAGGTGCAGACGAGGGGTGCCCGCCTCTTCTTCCAGGTCACTGTGATGTTTTTACTGCTGTCTGTATCCTCATTGGAAAGATTTAATCTCACTTCCTGTCCTTGAGACAACAGGAAGTGAGAGGAAATCTATCCCTAGGAAGGGAAATTCACTCCTGTAAGAGTGATCATGGGAAAAAAAGGTGTCTCCATTGAAGCTTTATCACCAATCCTTGTTTCCACGACAACCCAAAATTTTCAAAATCTAATTGTCACAGGGACAGAAAGTGAGGCGAAGTCTTCTGAACACGGGCACACACAGCAAAACAAATGTTACAGGGGGTTAACCCTTCCCTATGCTATCCGAAACTAAAAACTATTTTTTTTTAGCTGGAGTTACACTTAAAAAATGTACCTGTTCCAACTTATATACAAATTAAACTTAAGAACAAACATACAGTCCCTATCTTTTTTGTAACCCGGGGACTGCCTGTATTATATTAGGGCTAGTTCTGCCCAAGCATAATGGCCAAACAATCGCTGGTAGCTTGACGTGCTGCCAATTTCTTCAAGCTGACATCCGAAGCCTAATGAACCCCACACATACATAACAAGGGCAATAGCGCCACCTTCTGTTTCCTAACGATATGACAGCTTTAGTAATGCAAACTGTACATTTGTTTTTAGGTATGACATAAAAAAAAAACCTGAAATGGTTCTGTGACTTTATTTGCATATTTATAAAATAATGTAGTAAGAAAAAAACAATGCTTACGGCAGATAACATAATACATTAAAAATAGACATATTATCGTAATATTAGACAAAATACAACACTTGATATGGTAGTTGTATGTGAACGTTTATGGCACAAAAATAAATTCATTCAATACATATACAGAGTCAATATCTTATCAATGCCCATCCAAAGGGTTCTGCCATTCATACTTTATATACACGGAGCGGACTGTAGATATGTAGATTACAGGCAGGGAGGCATCTCTCTTGGGTTATATGCAGGTTTATTGGGAAGCACACCTCTTGTCACTTTAGGAGGTTTGTGGTTTAGAAGTGGGCAGCTACCACTTGACCATTGGGGAAAAAAGATGTAAAATTTGGATGTGGCTGTAAAGAGTATAATGCAAACATACAAAGGGGCCACATGTGCTGTGGCGTCACAAGGGGGGGGGCGGCCCGCACCCGGCTGACACCATTGGAGGGGTGACACCAAAATGACTGACAGCCATTTTGTTGTCACCCCCTCTGAAAAGTCGGGCACTCGGTCATGGACCGAGAGCCCAACAGTTGCAGGAGAGAGAGGAGGGGATAAGGTATGCCGCCGGGTCCCCTCCTCTCTCTCCAGCAACTGTTGGGTTCTGGGTCCATGACGTCCCCTCCTCTCTCTGCCGGCGTCCATCACCAAGATGGCCACCGGCAGGTATCAAAAAGATGACCGTGCATGCAAGATGGCGTCATTGTGACCGCACGTGATGACGTCACGGCACGGTGTCACCCGGTATCCTCTCCAGGTGACATGTGGACAGGGTGCAGCGGCTGGTCACCTGACATCACTGACCAATGTGTGCATTTCAGTACAGTGCACAGGGCTGCGCTGCTGTGTATGGAGTATGGATAGTACACCGGAACCAGCGGAAGAGGAGGAGCGTTCGCCCAAAGGTAAGTGAAGCAAGGGGGTGAGGGCAGAGGGGGCCAGATTGGAGGGGGTAATTCCTATTTCCCAACTTCACCTGGGAAAGTGGTATTACCCTTTAATACAACAATCTTAATGCGTTTGTTTTAGGACATAGCGACCAATACGGCAAAAATTACAGCAGGAGCCGACACAAGATGAATTCAAATACAGCATTTCAGCAGTGAGGAAAGGGAAATAAATAGTTTATACAGAATAAAATTATGGCGAAGCTTACCAGGAAAGGCCCAAATGTCAAAAGATTTGTGTATAGGGTGCGGCCAGCATAATGTAAAGGGGAACGGTAATCTTCATGCAGTTTATAGATATATATGTGAGTGTGATTAGCATAATATAAATCCTTATCTATGGATATAATAACTCAGAATATTCACTCATCCCGTAGTCTCCCTTTAAAATGTTCTGTAGAAATTCTTAATAGACCGGTGTCCGGCCTAAAGTCACCTCTCCACTCAGCCAACATCCAAATAGGTCATACATCCCATATGTTTTGGACCAGGGGTAGGCAGCCTCAGCCGCTGGGAGTCATGCATGTGGCTGTCAGTGTCTTGCAATGCCTTATGGGACTTGTAGCTCCTCGAGAGCTGGAGTGCCGAGCTTGCCCACCCCTGTTTTAGAAGGACATACGTCGCCTCAGTCAGGATTCTTCCCCATTGTGTTCTCGTCTTTATCTTTGTGTCAGCAGTGTTCTATGTTCTAGTGGAGAATCATTAAAGACACAGCGACGTTGGAAATGACCTGTTTATCAAAGTCAGCTGACGGTTTCAGTGGAAGGAAGGTGGATGCATCTCACACAGTACTTATGTATTTCACAATATGGCTTATTGCTTACATTTTTGGCAGTTTAGCATACGAGGGTTGTGGATGGATATGTTGTGATGGATAAGTAGAGAGTAAAAAAAAAGTAAGCCTTGAATGCTTTTCCTGGAGGAACTGCTGCTACGGGATCACCCCAGTGATGCTCACATAAAAACTTAGAGATTTCTGCCAAAGAAGGAGATCAATTAATCTGAACATGAATCCTCCACTTCAGAGGAGACCACATGACCTTTTTATGGATGAAGAGACCACATGGCCTTCCAATTGAGTGATGAGACCACATGGCCTTTTTATGGATGAAGAGACCAGATGGCATTTGAATAGAGTGAAGAGACCACATGGCCTTTTCATTGAGTAAAGAGACCACGACCCTAAAACTGCACACATGACCACATGAGCTTTTTTTAAGGGCCTATTACTTGAGTACGGAGACCACATGACCATTTAATTTCAATAAGTGAAAAAACAAAGCACAAGGCCTTCAATTTGCTTAAAGAGACTGCATGACCTTTTAACTGAGGGAAGAGACCACACGGCTCTTAATTTGAGTGAAGGGACTACATGGCCTTGCAATTGAGTGAAGCAACCGCATTGGCATTTAATCTGAGTGAAGAAACTACGTTGCCTTTTAGTTAAATGAAGAGGCCACGTGGGCTTTTAATTGAGCAAAGAGACCACATGACCATTTAACTGAGCACAGAGACCACATGACCATTTAATTAAATGAAGAGACCACATGACTTTTAATTGACTGAAGAGACCACATGGCCTTTAATCTGAGTGAAGAGACCACATGGCCTTTTAATTAACTGAAGGGTCTACATAGCTTTTTAATTGACCACATGACCTTTTAATTGATAGGAAGACCACATGACCTTTTAATTACGTGCAGAGTCCACATGGCCTTTAAACTGAGTAGAGAGACCACGTGGCCTTTTAATTGAGTGAGCAGCACTAAGGGGAAACGGAGCACCATTTCCTCCAGGAAATATCTTAACCCTCATGTTATTCTTTATCAATCTTGACAAGAATGTGAACAGAGTATATATTACAGGTGAAGCAAGGCCGTGCCATATCTATTTTTATAATGTTTTGTTCTTAGGCATCCCTGAAAGGGCACATTACACCTGTAGTAGCAACAGAATGATACAAATGTATTTAGAAAAAGAAAGCTTAAAAAGGGTATAGGGGAGGGGGCTCCTGCACACGGGCACAGAGGTCCGTACACGTCCATATTTCTGTGCCCAGGAATCACAGGTGTTGCCTACAGCCGCCTGTATAAATCAATAAGGCTGTATGCTGGTAAACCCTGACCCAATCACATACAGGTACGGTTGTATGATACCTGGACGCAGGACGTTTTTTACAGTGTGCGGCCCTCTGCGCCCCGTGTGCAGTAGCCATTAAAGTGACGTTAATTTTCTTAAACATACGACATTTCAGATAAATAGGTTAAAAAAAACAGTAAAGGAGTCAAAATAATCTGTGACTCCAGCCATCAATCAGAAGAAAACATAACTGCTCATGATTTGCTATAGAGACTGAAAATGACACATTACTCTTTATCAAAGGGCTGTATTTATAAACAACAGCAAGGCCATTCGCCCTGCGCATATTTGTGAACGTGCACTCTGTGCAAATACATGCCAAAACAAACGTTCTTCTTTACAAGTGGAATTAATGTGTGTAATATCACATTATGGCCACTAGATGGAGCTAAAAAAAAGCACTTGAAATGGCTTTTATTTTCTATGCTCCTCCTCGCCATCTAGTGGCCATAATGTGATATTAAATATAAAATTCCCTTGTTAGTTTTGCCATAAGACTGCACAAAACTAGCATTCACAGATATTCGCAGGGCCGTTCACCCTACTTATAGTTGATAAATAGACTCCAAAGATTTTTTTTTTTTAAAGAAGTGGGGAGCAATTAGAACCCCTGTTTTTTTCTTGCAACCCAGGGATTCGTTAGCGAGATTTACCCTTGCTGTCCCGGTTCCACCAGACAGGACGGGAATACCCCAACAGCACCACAGCAATAAAAACACTTGATTTTTAATAGAATAGGGGAAAAGGTAGAACCGCTTTCAGCTTTTTATGGTTGGTGTGTCCCTTTTACAGATATTCCGTCTGCAGATATTCCCTCGCTTCCTGTCTGCCTCACTTCCTGTCTGCAGAGATTCCCTCACTTCCTGTCTTCCTTAAACCGTTATCCATTACAGCGGCAGAGTTGGGCTGCATCGGCCAGCATTGCCCAGTGAAGTCCCAAGGCAAGTTAACCTATGCCTATGGTTTCAGGTCACAGCGTGTTGGTGTGCAATGAATAAAAAAAAAATGTCAATGTGCTGCGGCACCTAGAATAACAAAGTGCAATGTGCTGCAGTACATAGAATAACATATATAAAACAAAGCAAGCACTACAATGTGTTTTAACAATGCATTGCAGCACATGGCAGCGGGTGCTCACATGCATTATATATAAAGGTATAAGGTGTCGTTTGTAGAGTGAATGGGCCCTAAGTGGGGAAAAATCTCTCTAACGGAGCCCTGGATAGCAGTTAAAACCCAACAGGGGTTCTAATCCTTCCCCTCCAAAAAAAGATTTGGGTGGACATGTTAAGTGTACCCATTAGCAGTGTGCTCCCTAGCGTGTATTACATTGTATGTTTCCGGTATGCAAAAAATGACGCACTCACTGATATCATGAGAATGAGCTTTGACGCTAGGAATCATCGCTGCCTACATGGCATTCTCTGTAATAGCCACATGCAGTTTAGTGTAATAGCTTTTTCCATGGGAAGCAGGGACCGCTAAGTATCCTCAGGAAAACGTATATGTCACTGTAGAACGTAATTCAGGTTTCACTTAACCTCAGCTTAAAACAGGCAGGCGAGTGCTTCAAGTATATATTGCTGGATGGAAAGAGGCAGCCATATTGTATATATAACATGTGACACTATAACATGAAGAGTAACCAGTCTGTGAGATCAGATGATAGTGGTGATGGTTCGGAGACAGCTTGACTGCATTGAAATGCACTGGAAGAGAGAAATGACAGTTGCGGAATAAAGTGCATACAGCAGACTCGACAAAACGCACTGGAACGCATCCAGAGATAGGCAAAAAGGGTTCAGCTGCAACGTCCCTTTATTGTCAGGTGAGCAGGGAGTAGGAGTTTGATGAAGCCAGGTCGGATGAGTTCACCTGAGCTGAAGAAATATTGTATGCTCCTAGGGAAAAAAAGGTACAAACATTAGGTGATACTTAGAATACACCAAATACATACAAATGAACAGTGAGATGAAATGTGAAAAACATTCACAGAGCCATTGGTCATGTGATCTGCATGCACATTAGTTCTGTGCGAATGGAGCAAATATGAATGTTACTATAGTTTCTTTCCAGGTCGAATATCAGGAAAATACAAGATTATGGCCACTAGATGGAGCTGGCGAGCACAGGACATACATTCTTCTTTTTTACTGGTCCTGTGGGTAGGAATAAGGGCGAAGCTTATCATTAGTATGCTGCCACGGATAGGCACCATGAAAGGAAAATTACCGGTAAGTATGAAGACAATTTTCCGTATTCCTTTGCTTCTCAGCTCCACCTAGTGGCCACAATGGGGTATTTTACTTACCTATGGCCTGGAAAGAAAATATACTCATGGCATTGGTTTTGCCTCCATTCGCCCGGAAGGAATGTACATGCAGTTATGCAGTGTGAATGGCTCTGCGCATTTATTTATTTTTATAAATAAACCTTTAGAAGTCTACTAGGGATTTTAAAATGGAAGACAAATAATGTGAAAATATTAGAGGGTTGCCAATAATGTTTATTTGACCATAAAACGTTATAGACTTTTCATGTGTTGACGCATAGGGGTTTACTTATAAGACAAAAATGTAATACCATCTGCAAAATGTTGCAACTAATACCCCTGTGGGGTATTAGTTGCAACATTTGCAACAGATGTTTTTAATTTGTGCGAAATGTTACTTTCTGATATTGTTGTCTTTCGCAAGGTCAATGTAACATTCCCTTCCACCCCAAGAACATTCAATCCTAAAGGAACATGTGCGCAAACTACTACTTGGGGGGTGTTAGTTTAGGGAAGTCAGAAATAGAAAAAGACCTAAGGGTCCTCATAGATCACAGATTGAGGAATCCTCATAGATCACAGATTGGGGGGTCCTCATAGATCACAGATTGGGGGGTCCTCATAGATCACAGATTGGGAGGTCCTCATAGATCACAGATTGAGGGGTCCTCATAGATCACAGATTGGGGGTTCCTCATAAATCACAGATTGAGGGCACCTCATAAATCACAGATTGTGGGCTCCTCATAAATCACAGATTGTGGGCTCCTCGTAAATCACAGATTGGGGGCTCCTCATAAATCACAGATTGGGGGCTCCTCATAAATCACAGATTGGGAGGTCCTCATATATCACAGATTGGGAGGTCCTCATAGATCACAGATTGGGAGGTCCTCATAGATCACAGATTGAGGAATCCTCGTAGATCACAGATTGGGGGCTCCTCATAGATCACAAATTGAGGGGACCTCATAGATCACATATTGGGGTCTCCTCATAAATCACAGATTGGGGGCTCCTCATAAATCACAGATTGGGGGCTCTTCATAAATCACAGATTGGGAGGTCCTCATAGATCACAGATTGCGAGGTCCTCATAGATCACAGATTGCGAGGTCCTCATAGATCACAGATTGCGAGGTCCTCATAGATCACAGATTGCGAGGTCCTCATAGATCACAGATTGCGAGGTCCTCATAGATCACAGATTGCGAGGTCCTCATAGATCACAGATTGCGAGGTCCTCATAGATCACAGATTGCGAGGTCCTCATAGATCACAGATTGCGAGGTCCTCATAGATCACAGATTGCGAGGTCCTCATAGATCACAGATTGCGAGGTCCTCATAGATCACAGATTGAGGGGACCTCATAAATCACAGATTGGGGGCTCTTCATAAATCACAGATTGGGAGGTCCTCATAGATCACAGATTGGAAGGTCCTCATAGATCACAAATTGAGGAATCCTCATAGATCACAGATTGAGGGGACCTCATAAATCACAGATTGGGGGGTCCTCATAAATCACAGATTGGGGGCTCCTCATAGATCACAGATTGGGGGCTCCTCATAGATCACAGATTGCGAGGTTCTCATAGATCACAGATTGAGGAATCCTCGTAGATCACAGATTGAGAGGACCTCATAAATCACAGATTGGGGGTTCCTCATAAATCACAGATTCTGGGCTCCTCATAAATCACAGATTGAGGGCTCCTCATAAATCACAGATTGAGGGCTCCTCATAAATCACAGATTGAGGGCTCCTCATAAATCACAGATTGAGGGCTCCTCATAAATCACAGATTGAGGGCTCCTCATAAATCACAGATTGAGGGCTCCTCATAAATCACAGATTGAGGGCTCCTCATAAATCACAGATTGAGGGCTCCTCATAAATCACAGATTGAGGGCTCCTCATAAATCACAGATTGAGGGCTCCTCATAAATCACAGATTGAGGGCTCCTCATAAATCACAGATTGAGGGCTCCTCATAAATCACAGATTGAGGGCTCCTCATAAATCACAGATTGAGGGCTCCTCATAAATCACAGATTGAGGGCTCCTCATAAATCACAGATTGAGGGCTCCTCATAAATCACAGATTGAGGGCTCCTCATAAATCACAGATTGAGGGCTCCTCATAAATCACAGATTGAGGGCTCCTCATAAATCACAGATTGAGGGCTCCTCATAAATCACAGATTGAGGGCTCCTCATAAATCACAGATTGAGGGCTCCTCATAAATCACAGATTGAGGGCTCCTCATAAATCACAGATTGAGGGCTCCTCATAAATCACAGATTGAGGGCTCCTCATAAATCACAGATTGAGGGCTCCTCATAAATCACAGATTGAGGGCTCCTCATAAATCACAGATTGAGGGCTCCTCATAAATCACAGATTGAGGGCTCCTCATAAATCACAGATTGAGGGCTCCTCATAAATCACAGATTGAGGGCTCCTCATAAATCACAGATTGAGGGCTCCTCATAAATCACAGATTGAGGGCTCCTCATAAATCACAGATTGAGGGCTCCTCATAGATCACAGATTGGGAGGTCCTCGTAGATCACAGATTGAGGGGACCTCATAGATCACAGATTGAGGGGTCCTCATAATCACAGATTGAGGGGTCCTCATAGATCACAGATTGAGGGCTCCTCATAGATCACAGATTGAGGAATCCTTATAAATCACAGATTGAGGGCTCCTCATAAATCACAGATTGAGGGCTCCTCATAAATCACAGATTGAGGGCTCCTCATAAATCACAGATTGAGGGCTCCTCATAGATCACAGATTTGGCAATAGTAATCAAGGGGTATTTCACTGTGAGAGTGGTGAAACTTTGGAATTCCCTACCACAGGTTGGTGGTCTCTGCGGATAACATTGATAAATTCAAAAATATGCTGGATGAATTGCTTCTTTCGCGGAATCTACAGGGATACGGGAAGTGTTAGTGCCAGATAAATACACACAGACAGACACAGACAGACACAGACAGACACACACAGACACAGACAGACACACACAGACACAGACAGAAACAAACAGACACAGAGAGACACACACAGACACACACAGACACACATACGTTGAACTGGATGGACCTTGGTCTTTATTCAACCTTACATACTATGTTACTATTAGACATGTGCACCAGCAAAAAATTTGTTTCGTTTCGGATTTTGCTTTATTTTGTTTTTCAGAATTCGGGTCCGAAAGTCAATTAGTTTCGGAATTCGGATTCGGACGAAATTCGTTAGCGGAAATCCGTACGAAATTTCGTTTCGTTTTCTTTTCGTTCGTTCATTGCACCAAAGTGACATTTAAGAGGGGAAAAAAGTTTTTTTGTTCTCAAAGGTCACTTTGCTGCAACGAAATTTCTCAAAGGTCACTTTGCTGCAATGAAAATCTCGGAATTTACGAAATTTCGATTCGGAACGAAACGAATCACACATGTCTAGTTACTATGTAAAATGGACTAAGAACATTCAATGAAAAGTAGTCTAAAATAATATCCAAAAATACAGACACACACAGACACAGACAGACACACACAGACACAGACAGACACAGACAGACACAGAGAGACACACACAGACACACACAGACACACATACGTTGAACTGGATGGACCTTGGTCTTTATTCAACCTTACATACTATGTTACTATTAGACATGTGCACCAGCAAAAAATTTGTTTCGTTTCGGATTTTGCTTTATTTTGTTTTTCAGAATTCGGGTCCGAAAGTCAATTAGTTTCGGAATTCGGATTCGGACGAAATTCGTTAGCGGAAATCCGTACGAAATTTCGTTTCGTTTTCTTTTCGTTCGTTCATTGCACCAAAGTGACATTTAAGAGGGGAAAAAAGTTTTTTTGTTCTCAAAGGTCACTTTGCTGCAACGAAATTTCTCAAAGGTCACTTTGCTGCAATGAAAATCTCGGAATTTACGAAATTTCGATTCGGAACGAAACGAATCACACATGTCTAGTTACTATGTAAAATGGACTAAGAACATTCAATGAAAAGTAGTCTAAAATAATATCCAAAAATAGCCTGAAACAATAACCCCAAAACATCCAACCAGAAGACAATATAGCCTAAAACGATAGCCCAAGAACATTCAAGCAGAAGAGAAAGCAGCATGAAACAAAAGCCCAAGAAGTTAGTTTTTGCATACACAGAGCATTGGAGTGCCATTTAGAAATAACAGTGGAGTGCAATGTACAACACTTTTATGGGTCCCCCTCCAGCGCTCACTGGTTCTTCCCAATGAGTTCTATTTCACCATAGAACATAGTAGTAATCTGGGGGTTGGTGGGAAGAACCACTGAGCAAGGCGGGGGACATAGGAGATCCACACTCCCGGATGTCTTCGTTTTCTGTAGAAGAGTTCAGCACACAATTCCTCTTGAACGAAGCAGCATTTGGTGGCATGGGCAGCGGGAACAGTAAGTATTTACATTCTCCTTTTGCGGGGTATTCTTTTTTGGCCAAGGGGACTTTACCAGCTATTGTATTGTGGGACTTGTTCAGGTGAGTCGCTGGATTCATATATTCAGAAGGTCGGATGTGATAAAGCACAATGGCTCTCAACAAAAAAACGGGATGTTCTACATACAAGGGAAGCCAGGATTGAAGGTATATGGATATATACAATGAGCGCACCAAACAAGACAGAGCAAGAGTCAACAAATGTTTAACAATGGACCGGTTCATAAACTGCAGCCGACGTGTTTCGGCGGACCTCACGCTTCTTCAGGGCTTACACATGGTAGGTAGTATTATGGACTCAAAAACTTGCACCAACCACCAGGGATTAATTACTTGTTGCGTAGGGCATAGCTAACATCAGTGAATCAGCAAAACTGCTTTTGTATTGTGACAGCAAGCGCCTGCGGCTGTCAGAATACCCATACTGTGACCCATAACCGATTGGCTGTAGTCACCATTCAGCCGACAATTTTCCAAATGGCTCCTTTGACAAAAGGCAATTGAGAAATCGACTTTTGTTGAACAAAGGTCGATTTTTCAATTGGCTTTTGTCGAAGGAGACATGTGGAAATTTGCCGGTAGGGCCAAACACTGCTCGAACTTTGGAGTCACCTGGCTTAAATTCAACCAGTTTTTGGCTAGATTTAGAAGGCTTGATCATTGGATGTTGGCCGTGCATGGTCAGCAGTGACATGCGGTACCTCTTGCTCTGGCTGATGCATTCCCCAGCCTTGCCCCCAGCACGTCCCACCCCCGCTGGCTGGAGCCCAACCCCAGCTGGCAGAAGCCCACCTTGCCTGCCGAAGCCCCGCCCCTGCCGATCAAAGCTCAACCCCCAACACATCCCCAAGCTAGTGGAAGGGAGGAGACATGAAGCTGACAGCTTTTTCCTCCATAATTCTGCCTCCCCGCACGTCCCTGATGGTCAGTGAAGGCCTGTAGACATAGTTGTCCCCTGATCCTGCCAGCACTGATCAGGCAAATGTTTTCTGATGTTTTTACAACACCTGTAACAGCCTAAATAATAACAGAGAATAATGAGCCAACAATTACATTTCATCACCAGTCTATATGACTGTGGTGACCCTGACCCCAAAATTACAGTTCCAGAAGATCTTGTGAATTGAATTAAAAATGAAGAGGGCCAGAGGGCCATCTTCTCTTCGATGGAAGACCACGTGACCAACAGTGGAACCTAAAAGCATGAGTAAGTCTACTATAGGCTTCGCTATGCCCTAACGGGGACAAAAGTGATTTGATGGGGGTCTTGGCGCCACAATTATCTCTCACTCAGTTTTGGCAACTCACCCTTCTTGGCAAACAAATTGAAAACTCCTTTTGGTGCGACAGGATCTGTAGAGCTGAGATTGGAAGTCTGTATAAAAACATAAAAAAAAGATAAAAATGAAACAGACGTGCACATAAAATAAGTGTATTAGACATGAAAGCTGCGGAAAATTCGGTTTGGTTATTTCGGGATTTGGATCAGAAATTCAATTTGGTTCGGGTCTTGGATACCACAGAAAACCATGTACAGATATTATTACTAAAGCTGAAGCTCCCAAACCCGAATGGCCTTTGGGATCCGAATTTCTGAATTGGATTTGGGAGCTCCCAAGTGCCATTCGGGTCTAGGAGTCTCGGCTTTAGTATTATTTGTATATACTGTGTATGGCGTCCATGTTGCCGTAGCGAAAATTCGTGTTCAGACCCATTTGGATGCATTAAACCGAAAAACATATCTGATAGGCCAAAAAATGTTTTTTGGGATTTCACAGATAGAATTGATGTAAAAACAGTTTCAGATTGTTTACAGAAACCAATCAGATCCTCAACTTCACTCTCCCATACTGCACTGGAAACACAAAAGAGAGAATCTGATTGGTTGCTCGGGAGAACACGCACTACACTTTTCCCCACTACTTCTATTAATAGGGCTTTATGACAATACACCACATTATGAAATACGTGCATTGTAGGGTACATAACCGAGACCATGGTGTGTCACTGGACAACTTTGGTCAAGTAGTAATGGTCAGAAGCCGAACATTATAGTTCCTGTTAATCACTCCGACAGTCACATTTGCTTAAAGTTAAAGTTTTCAAGTCAAAGGATGTGAAAGAGACGCCCATAATAAACTGAATCCATATCATACTGTTATCATATCAAGAAGGAACACACATGACCCTCTACCTTTGTCTGCTGTGAAGACCATCTGGAGATGGAGAACCTGCTGAACAAGGCATCCCGTACCTGGAATTAATGAGAGCAAACATGAGTTCTTCCTGAGGATTATGTTGTCCTGGTCCAAAGAATAACTACATTATAGTCTTAGAACTTACCTTTTTATCCATCAGACATCCAAACAGCAAAATAAATAAGCCCTGAAAGGAGAAACAAAAAGAAACAAACGTATTATCCTCTGCATTATGAATATCCTGCTTCGGCAGCTTAAAGGAACTGAAAAGTAGGTGTGTGTGTGTTTGTAAATATACACTATATTGCCAAAAGTATTGGGACGCCTTTACACACACATGAACTTTAACCCCTTCATGACTGAGGCCTTTTACGAGGTCAGGTACTGATGTTGAAGGAGAAGGCCGGGCTCACAGTCTCCACTCTAATTCATCCCAAAGGTGTTCTATGGGGTTGAGGTCAGGACTCTGTGCAGGCCAGTCAAGTTCCTCCACCCCAAACTCCCTCATCCATGTCTTTATGGACCTTGCTTTGTGCACTGGTGCGCAGTCATGTTGGAACAGGAAGGGGCCGTCCCCAAATTGTTCCCACAAAGTTGGAGCGAGCATGAAATTGTCCAAAATGTGTTGGTGTGCTGATGCCTTAAGAGTTCCTTTCACTGGAACTAAGGGGCCAAGCGAAAACCCCTGAAAAACAACCCCACACCATAATCCCCCCTCCCCCAAACTTTACACTTGGCACAATGCAGTCAGGCAAGTACCGTTCTCCTGGCAACCGTCAAACCCAGACACGTCCATCAGATTGCCAGACAGAGAAGCGTGATTGGTCACTCCAGAACCTGTTTTTAACCTTAGTGGTGAGACAAGTTTTTTTACATGCTAGCATGTGAGTGTGCCAGGAAAACTTTTTACTGTTTTACTGTTTAAAGCCCATTCCGTGTGCACCTTGCTGTAAAGCTGGTGACGAATTGATGAGTGCGTTTGTCATTTGTTTTGCTTGACTGATTTGGTGCAGTGATATATGGGGGGGTTTCAGCTGCCATTGGGATGTGCGGGATCCCTTGTGCGTTCCTGTACCTTTAAGGGGGGTTGGGCTTCCTCCTGACAGACCTGCACCCAATTTTATCTTCTGCCCCATGTGCTCTAAGATGGAGACTCTCATAGTTTAGAGTTAGGACCGCACTATCAGAGGTGCCTTGGTGCGGCTGTGCGGCTTTCACATATTCTGCAGAAGACGTGTATCTAAACCTCTGCTTTTAACCTTAGTGTGAGACAAGTTTTTTTACATGCTAGCTTGTGAGTGTGCCAGGAAAACTTTTTACTGGTCACTCCAGAGAACACGTCTCCACTTCTCTAGAGTCCAGTGGCGGCGTGCTTTACACCACGGCATCCCACGCTTTGCATTGCACTTGGTGATGTAAGGCTTGGATGCAGCTGCTCGGCCATGGAAACCCATTCCATGAAGCTCTCTACGCACTGTTGTTGTGCCAATCTGAAGGCCACACGAAGTTTGGAGGTCTGTAGCTATTGACTCTGCAGACAGTTGTCGACTTCTGTGCACTGTGCGCTTCAGCATGCGCTGACCCCGCTTTGTCATTTTATGTGGCCTACATGGCCTTGCTGTTGTTCCCAGTTGCTTCCACTTTGTTATAATACCACTAACAGGTGACCGCGGAATATTTAGTAGCAAGGAAATTTCACATAACACCTGAATCGAATGATTTGGAGGGGCGTCCCAATACTTTTGGCAATATAGTGTATATATACAGCAGTATATCGCACTCTAGGCTCCTTTTACCATGTTTACAAGGATAACCCTGACCGCTTTGCTGAACCTTTTTGTTTCCAGATCTGATCTGCTGTAGCGACATAGAACTGTATGATCAGAGGAGGGACTCAATCACCCACCTGCTCTGCCTCCTCTGTTCAGATCATCAATGTAGTTAATAAAAGACAGTCACAAAGGGAAACACTACTGCTGTGCTCTCTTTTTAACAAAGCCAAGAATTCTCTTGGAAGCAAATGTCATGGTTGCACTACTCATTCGCTCTACTGATTTGTAAAATGAAGATATTACATAAATTATAAAAAGTTAAAACAATTTGATAAAAAATACAAACTAAAAGAAAAAAATAACATTGATACAAAACCATTAATGTTTCCTAATTCTTTTTGAAAAAAAAAAAACTAAGCAGCACATGAAATGAGCCAGTTAACTGCTAATGTGGCAAGCGCTGCAATTGTGATGAAGTCTGGAAGTCCGTTCAGTTTCCCTTAAAGGAGAACTATGGGGTCAGGGCTTTTCCCCATAGTTCTCCTAAGCGTAACGGGAGGACACAAACTAGCGTCCTCCCGTCACTCAAAGTTCAGTATACCGCGAGCTGTAGCTACAGACATTACTGTCTGGATCCACACAGCTGCGTGAGTGACAGCTGGCTCTGCCTATCTAAAGGCATGGAGTGAAAGTCACTCACATCATAGTTTTCCTTTAATCTGGGCCATATAGCACCCAGTGAGGTCCTCCATGGAGTGGTTCAGTACAGTTATGTCTGAAGTGAACTAGACTGTGCTCTCTGTCAGCATTTCAAGCCTTAAAGTGATTCTATCGATAGATAGACAGATAGATAATTAAAAAGGATTTTAAATAAGTAGATTGTGAAGTCTTTATGATGAAATGCGTAGGAAGATGCAGATTTCATGCACCACGTAAGAGTTCTTTTGAAAAGATAATCAATTTGATCAATTTCACCCAAACTACGCCACTCATCCCTACTTGGGATAACCACAGAAGTCTACAAGAAACTTTTCTAGAAACATAACTCTTACCTGAAGTGAATTCAATCCTGCAAAAAATCCATGGATGACAGGTGACTGGCTCACCATTGTCCCGATGCCAAGGCCCCAGGTCAGGCCGAGCAGCGGCGTTAGGATAAGTATACATTTGGCGATGTGGTTTAGGGAGCTCTTTTCTTCTTTTTTAGGCCTATCCCCCACTGAAGGTCTGAGGACCTTGATAATTACCACCACCAGGGTAACAAAATTCACCAATAGGATGGTGAGGGCCGGTACTATAAATGCCAGGAATGCTTTGCTTTTTTCAATATTCAGCCAACAGCTCTTGGGCATAAGGTAGGCGTTCTGAGGTTGGGTGACTGCCACGGTGATCACTGTAATAATAACAGGGCATCCGTATCCCAGGAAGAATGAAATTCCCATCATGGTCGTCTTGCTCAGGTCGTGGAAGACGCACATCAGGCGGTAGAACAGGATCAGTCCCATCGTCAACATCCAGAAGAAGACGCACAGGTAAAAGAGATGCGTGAAAAAAGTCGCCGTGATGCAGCCTTGGACTTTATCTGTCGTATTCATAGCTGCGCCGATGATGAACCAGATATCGGCCATCAAAAGAGTCACGGCGATGTTTATGATACAGACGTGGCGCAGGTAGGAGGTCTTGTTCTTGGTGACGGACTTCCAGACTATGGCTTCAACTATGATGCAGATGAGCAGACTAAGCATGGAGATACCCACACCAATGAATGTAATGTAGGATAATATTTTCTCAATCTCGGGGTCTAATTCCTTCAATGACATAAGAATAGAGAAGGACGTCAAGTGATCGCAAACACAACGTACACTTTCACTGTAGTTCTGGAAAGAGCAGCCGGAATTATCCCAGTCTTGGATCTTAAAGTTCCACCACACGCAGCTCCCAATATTCAGCGAAGAATTACTTTTTTTAAAATCCATCCCGATTTCGAATTTGGTGTAGTTGTTTGACAAAACTGTCGTCATGACCAGACCGTTCAGGGTCTGATTGGAGGAAGAGTTATGAGGGACACCTATGATATCGTTTAAGGTGGCGTAGGCAAGGCTCACCACATTTGTGTTGTTCGGAAGTGACTTCAGGATTGTTTGGTTGATCAAAACGTTGCCCGTCAAATTGTTCACTTGGCTGAAATCAAAATTGGCCCTAAAATTAGATGACGAGCTGCCCGTTTTGTTGCCTTTTAACTGGACGTTTTTGCTATCTATAGTAATTCCGTCGTCCTCAATTTTCAGCTTCTCTGCAAATGATTCTACTGACTGCATCAGATTTGAACTCTCATTGACTTTATTTGGAATCCTGTCCCAAGTGGATGTCCTTGTGTTGTCCACAACAACACTGACAGTGTCTAGGAAAGCCTGTAAAGAGAATTGGAAGGACTTAATATCTAGAAGATAGGTCGATAGGGATAGATAGATAGATAGATAGATAGATAGATAGATAGATAGATAGATAGATAGATAGGTCAATAGGGATAGATAGATAGATAGATAGATAGATAGATAGATAGATAGATAGATAGATAGATAGATAGATAGGTCGATAGATAGGTCGATAGATAGGTCGATAGGGATAGATAGGTCGATAGGGATAGATAGGTCGATAGATAGATAGGTCGATAGGGATAGATAGGTCGATAGGGATAGATAGATAGGTCGATAGGGATAGATAGGTTGATAGGGATAGATAGATAGATAGATAGATAGATAGATAGATAGATAGATAGATAGATAGATAGGTTGATAGGGATAGATAGATATAGATAGATAGATAGATAGATAGATAGATAGATAGATAGATAGATAGATAGATAGATAGATAGGGATAGATAGATAGATAGATAGATAGATAGATAGATAGATAGATAGATAGATAAGTCGATAGCGATAGATAGATAGATAGATAGATAGATAGATAGATAGATAGATAGATAGATAGATAGATAAATAGATAGATAGATCGTTAGCCATAGATAGATAGATAGATAGATAGATAAATAGATAGATAGAAGGATTAGCTGAATTATAGACAAACTTTATACATTCTTACCGCCATAACTGGTGTTGACACGTTTCTAACAGCACTTCCCGTCTGCTGCAATATGTTCAGCACAAGCTGAATGTTATTCACGGAGTTGGTTATATTTTGATCTTGACTTACAGTGTTATTTAAGGAAGAAATGATTTTGGGAACTTCCAGGTACAGGACGGGACTGGAACTCAGACCCTGAAAAATGAAGAAAAGAAGGATGCCTCTATAGAAAATGCTAAAATCTGAATTTTGGGATAGAAAATCACATTAAACCCTCAAACAATTATAGATTTTTAAAATTTTTTTTTTAATGCCGCATGATTTTTGTACAAATGATTAATAAATCAATATCGTTAGGTTAAAACAATCCACTAAAATGAATTTTAGTGCACACAGACACCATATATTCAGTCTATCATGAATGCAGCTGCTAGACTTATCCACCTAACCAACCGCTCAGTGTCTGCAACCCCCCTCTGCTAATCCCTACATTGGCTTCCACTCGCCCAGAGGATAAAATTCAAAATATTAACAGTCACTTACAAAGCCATCCACAACTCCGCCCCCAGATATATCTCAGACCTTGTCTCAAAATATCACCCTAACCGTTGGCTCCGCTCATCCCAAGACCTCCTGCTTTCCAGCTCCCTTGTCAACTCCTCCCATACTTGCCTCCAGGACTTTTCTAGAGTCTCTCCCATGCTCTGGAACTCTTTACCCCAACCTGTCCGTCTATCTCCCACCCTGGCTGTCTTTAGGCTCTCCCTGAAGACTCTTCTCTTCAGGGAAGCCTATCCCACCTCAACCTAACCACTGAACCATCACGTTCTCAAACAATTCTTCCCCACACAGCTACCTCCTCATGTATCACTGGCCCCTCCCTTTCAGATTGTAAGCCCTCAGGGGCAGGGCCCTCCTTACCATCTTGTCTAGAATTGTATTGTGATTGTAATGTCTTCCTTATATTGTAAAGCGCTGCGCAAACTGTTGGTGCTATATAAATACTATGTAATAATAATAATAATATATTACCCAATGCTTTTAGAAAATATAAAAGATGGGGTGAGGCTGAGAAAAAAGATACCAAACATGCCTTGAAATTGAGCATGCTCGTGCAATGGTGAAAAGCCATGGTACTCAAAATTGTCTATAGCAAACACTTTAAAAGCCTTTACTCCTCATCAGTTTAGAGTAACAGTGAACTATGAGCCCAGAATTATGGTTCTCTCTCTGAAGTTTACAGCGATACCCAACATGTGTGGCACAATCGCTGTTTACATACGTGTGCATGTCCCATGCGCACGATTGCATTCACTCGCAAGGGGGAGGCGGTTGCTGTTATTTTATTTTTTTTAATTATTTTTTTACTTTTCAACCCTTTTAAAAAAAAAAAATTTCCTCTTAACTTTATTGCTGCCACAAGGTAGCTAAAAAGGCTTCTGGCACTCCGGCTGTGGTGTAACTATGAATCCCATTAGGCATTGCAAGGCTCTTGACAGCCACAGGCATGACTCGGAATTCGCTTACCCCTGGCCTATGTGATAGCATTGTCGAGTGACAGGTTCTCTTTATGGAGACATCAGGAGTCTATTCAGCCTCTAATGTGTCCTCTGCCCTCCAATGCAGATGATCAAGCAAGGATTGTGCTTGGTCCTCTGTTTACCTGGCACTTCAGCTGGGCTTCTGACAGCTCTGAAGCAGGAAGAGCTGAGAGCACAGTGCCTCCTGTTTCAGTAATCGTAGCTCAGATCAGAGAAGGAATGTTCCATGATCTGCTGTGGCTTGCCATCTTGAACCCCTTTGCTGCGGTCCTGGGCCCTCCAGAGAAGCGGGAGAGTCAATAAAAATTGTGGCTGGGGGTGTGTGGCAGTGGGGAGGCACCTTCACATGCTCGTACAAGTGATTGGGTGGCTCTACAGCCACCCAATCACTTGTACTTTAAAGGTAAACAATATTAGAGAGAATGGGGTTTCAAATGAGGCATCAATATTTTGTCATATCATGAAATATTTTATTGTACAAAAATGAAAAACAATTTTTGAAATTTAGTTCAGCTGGAACAGCCACCATGACATATGTGTATATGTACAAACAGTTCCAACATATCCTTGCTTGACATCAATGTTGGCTCTTTGTATACATTAAAGCCCTAGATTAGGTACCTACATCAGTCTATACCACTTGTGTAGCAGTCATGTTACCATATATTATTTGTATCCATATAATATTCAGATAAAAGATATCTCAGGGCTTGTATAGGGAGATGTTTCGCTTAAACAAGCTTCGTCAGGGGGATCTGATCGGCAACCTTTAAACATAAAACAAGTATTGAAATCCACAACACATCACGTATAATAATGACATAATAACATAGTACATAGTTTGTCTGACAATACATCCATATAATCTTAGTACCTTCTGATGACTGACCACCATCGATTCAGAACCAGTATCACCTGGAAAGAGGCGGATCAAAAGACCAGCGCAGTGGAAAACACCCTCCAGAAACTAGGGGGCGGAACCTATCTCTCCCGGGACCATAGAGAGGTAGGTATCCAGGCAGGGAAAATAGCACCCACACATTTGTTTGTATTCTAACCTATATTAACCCAAATATATATAAAAAATTAATATCACATTACACCTATGAGTAAGGCCAATGTATTTTAATGCAACATTACCTTGCTTATATCTCTTTTTCAGGTTTGGGAAATTGGTGCATAAATTCAAAGCTCCTAATGAGATTTTCATGAGGTGTATATCTCTTATGGGTTTCTGGTGATAGAAAGCCCCCCCATAGCTTAAATTTATTATCCAGACGAGATCCAACATGAACCATCCATATCCGACAATGACCATCTATATCAAACCATTTGCAACAAGCAAACACATCCTCCAGAATCCTCAAAAGGTCCAGGGGGACCAAACAACACTCCCCAGCGACCAGCCCATTGCACCACTCTCCATTGTGAGTGACCACACACTCCAGCAAACACTCCGCACATCGTCGGGACTCTGCATCCACTTCACTACGTCTTATTAAATGATCCCACATTTTATCCACCATCTACCACATAGCTAGGGATAATATGAATGTAAAATAAACTCATATGTCTTTCCTATCATATCAATCAAACTATTAAAGTAGAACTATGAGATTAGTAATTTCCACTCACCTCATAGTTCTAGCCGACCTGTGACAATGAAGTAATAAGCAAGGTAATATTGCATTAAAATACATGGGCCTTACTCATAGGTGTAACGTGATATTGATGTTTTATATATATTTGGGTTAATATAGGTTAGAATACAAACAAATGTGTGGGTGCTATTTTCCCTGCCTGGATACCTACCTCTCTATGGTCCCGGGAGAGATAGGTTCCGCCCCCTAGTTTCTGGAGGGTGTTTTACACTGCGCTGGTCTTTTGATCCGCCTCTTTCCAGGTGATACTGGTTCTGAATCGATGGTGGTCAGTCATCAGAAGGTACTAAGATTATATGGATGTATTGTCAGACAAACTATGTACTATGTTATTATGTCATTATTATACGTGATGTGTTGTGGATTTCAATACTTGTTTTATGTTTAAAGGTTGCCGATCAGATCCCCCTGACGAAGCTTGTTTAAGCGAAACATCTCCCTATACAAGCCCTGAGATATCTTTTATCTGAATATTATATGGATACAAATAATATATGGTAACATGACTGCTACACAAGTGGTATAGACTGATGTAGGTACCTAATCTAGGGCTTTAATGTATACAAAGAGCCAACATTGATGTCAAGCAAGGATATGTTGGAACTGTTTGTACATATACACATATGTCATGGTGGCTGTTCCAGCTGAACTAAATTTCAAAAATTGTTTTTAATTTTTGTACAATAAAATATTTTATGATATGACAAAATATTGATCCCTTATTTAAAACCCCATTCTCTCTAATATTGTTTACCTAATAATAGTTTTAAGGGGGAGAGGCGTACATTGAGTACACCATGTGCTCAACCCCATGATTTAGGGTTAACACTAGTTCCCAAGCTTGTACTCTAAAGCCCTCCATCTACAGCAGCAGCCATGATCGTGACATAACCGCTTCAGGACCACAACGAATATATACAGAAGTCCTGCACTGGTTAAAGCTCACATAGCAAAAGTGGCAGATGTAGTATATGATATGAACCGGAAGGTATCTGCACTCCATCCAAAGCCATTGCCTTGGAGATCCACGCATTAAAGATAATGGGGCAACATTGTAGGCACTCAAAGGGCTTCCTTAGGAGAACAAGGAGGACAGTACAGCAGTTTTATTACAACGATGTCTCGTCGAGCCACCGCCCTGCCTTTCTTTAGAATATGATGGGAAATACGTTGTCATGAATATATTATTGTATTATATTGGAACCATGACTATATTCAGATGCTCTTTGGAGACAAGATATGTTGATATGTTCTTAGGAATAAGTGTCATATCATCACAGCCCCCATGTTCTCCGTTAGTAAGTCATGATGAAGGGGGTACTTGTATGAGCCCCCGTAATGCATTGGCTATTTTTATACTGTCCCCTCAACTCTATATTGAGTAAAAATGTATCTAGACTATTAAGTGCGGTGCCTCACGTCACAATCCTGCTTATGTCTTCAGACGTTATATTACCGCGCTGTGGCACGTGCCTGGATAGCATTGCAAATCAACGTACCTCAACCATAGTGTTCAGGTTGTTGAGAGCTTTAGACACACACGTATCGGTCATCCTCTCCCACTCGCCGTTTGTATTGCATCTGTAAATGATGTTGCCCTCCTGATCGGGATATAGCTGATTACAGGGAATGGTGTAGTCTTTCCCCACTTCTCCAATGTTGAGGCTTGTATTAGGAAGCAACTTGGTGCATGCTGCAACTGCAGAGAAAAATCATTCAAACAGAAGAGTTCATTAACATATTATACATTGTATTTATTAAATTGCAGTTGCATAAAATAATCTTTTATACTAGCATAAAGTCTCTACACCTGCAATTGGGTTCATCCATCTGATAAGGCATGTTCCAACATGGCCAACAGGTTACAGTCCAGATGGCCATTGTTGGCCATTATTATGAGTGCAGACATTCGCAAATGCTTAGGATTTCCATCAAGCACCATGGCACACAGCTACTGTAGGTGATTTTGCCACAATGATGTACTATAGTAGCTACATAACTAATGATGCGACTATATTATTGTATTATATTGGAACCATGACTATATCCAGATGCCCTTTGAAGACAAGATATGTTGATATGTTCTTAGGAATAAGTGTCATATCATCACAGTCCCTATACATGTTCTCCCTTAGTAAGCCCTGATGAATGATGAAACTAAATCAAAGCCCAACTCCAGAGAAATTAAAGGAGAACTATGGGGTCAGGGCTTTTCCCCATAGTTCTGATGAGGGTCGCGGGAGAAAGCAAACTAGCGTTCTCCCATGACCCAAAGCTCTGTATACCGCGAGCTGCAGCTCGCGGTATACAGAGACGCCACAGCCGAAGTGGATCCTGACAATTATGTCTGGATCCACCCAGCTGCGTGAGTGACAGCTGGCTCTGCCTCTAGATAGATGTACCTGCCCCCTCCCCCGTCCGTTCCGCCAGTCAGCGCTGGAGGATCGGACAGGGGAGGGGGGAATCCAGTCCCTCCCCTGTCACGGCAGAGAGCCGTGACAGGATGGAGAAGTGAGCCAACGCCGGTATGTGTTCACTGACCTCGCGCTCTACTAATGACAGTCTCATTGTCACAGGTCGGCTAGAACTATGAGGTGAGTGAAAATCACAATCTGCTTTAAGGACCCAGCCACACCATTGCCCAGCGAACTTAGCACTGCACTGCAAAGGTTAGCTGCTCATTTATGCCCCAGCGGGCAGGACAAAGTTGTTTTCCTTACCTGATCCCCACTCACCCAGCACAGTCGGTGCACTCCACTTCCCCCCCACCTTGCTCCGACTGTGGACTGTTCCTCTGCGTCCTTCATGGTGCCTGCATTGTACTTAATGATGTTTTTGGACTGCTGGAGCGAAGGGGTGAACAGGCTGCGGGGACCACTCTAGCCACCCAGAGGGATCTAGCAGGAGCGGGGATCAGGTAAGTGAAACGGCTTTCTTCCTTCCCCTAGGCAAAAACAACAAGGTAACCCCCTGCACTGCAAGGGAAAACTTTTCATCTCCCTGTATTTGGACTACAAATAAATCACACCATTCCAAATGAGCCAATCAGAGAGCCGGCACACTTTGCTAGTTTCTAGATTGGATACGAAGAAAGAAGAAATCATACCTGCTACATAAGAAAGTGTCATTTTGTCACTGGTCGCACGATCATTTAACAAGTTGGTAAAGATGCAGTAAGCCTCCAAACTCTGGCAAGGTTCAACAGGGGTATATGAAGCCCCAGAACAGTTTCCAGAAGCAGTCATCCCTGTGAAGGAAGAGTTACATTGTGTAAGTTTTTATGGCGATAGGAACCTTAATACCTATTTACTGATCAGACATTGGACATTATTTCATGGAAAGGATTGCAGGGGGCTGACGCCAAGTCAAAATCAGGTTCTCACACTAGTTGCATTTGAACAAATATGGTCAATAATATAGTAAAGAACACAGCTAATACCTTTCCTGCCGCCCAAACTTTGATCTCTACCACTGCCAAAGATTCTTCTGCATCTCACATAATTCTTGGTTTATCAGATGCCTGGTCCCCCCCCTGCTAAGTGATGTGGTTCTATCCGCTCGTAGCTTACATCACTATCTATTCTTTATAGGGGTCGGTGGAAGGAACCATAGCACATTGCAGGTGTAGCGCTCACCCCCGAAGGAGCCGCTGAATGCTCGGATCACCTCTAGTCTGTCTAGGGTATGTTCTTTAGCTGCCCACCCAATAGCACTAACCACCCTTCTTCTGGTGCCCACAAACTGATGTCCACTCCAGTAGTATAATGCAGGATAACGTTTTATTGAACATCTTCACTGGGGAGAGGGGCTATAGGGGTTCTAAGCTTCCAGGGGTAACTGACAAGAGCTCCAGACTCACCAGACCTGGTTGGCATATCAGTGTAGATCCACTTGGGAGGCAGCGGACAGCAATTGATGTAGCAGATAGGCAGGATGGATGCAGATCCTCAAACAGGAAAGACACCGACCATACCCTTGAAGTCCTCTTAGTTCCAGGGTACTTCAAGAGCCAGCATTGGTCCCGGTTCTCTTCCTTTATCAGCATCACATGCCTCCTCCATGTTGGAGGCCAGGCTTTTTCCTCTTTATTTTTACCTGTTAAGCCAGAGATAAATCAAAACACGGGATCTTCCGCACTATCCAAAACTAAAAGAATTTAGGTTGAACACACACCTTAAGGCTACATGCACACGGGGGTTTAGGCTGCGTCTGGGGATTCCTGCAGCAAAAACCTGCGGATATGTCCAGGGACAATCATCTATACCGACCCGCAGTAATCGCAGCATGCCACGGACAGATGTGGCTGCCGTCACCGTGTCATTAACTTGAAGGAGCACAACGGCTGCATATGTATGAACCGATCTTAGATTTGTGATGCAAAAATCCGCAGGTTCCTGGCGCAGGAATTTCCAGATTCAGCCTTAAGCCCTTTGTGCCCTTTCATTAACAGTAAACACTTCAACTCCCTAACTCAGCATATGCAACATGAAATTACCAGAGCTGCATATAACACTGAACACGCATGTGGCCCTCATTCACTATGATTTCCCCATACAAATGACTATAACATTTATAATGAATGTCAAAATTCATTAGATTTTTAATAATAAAAAGTGTATTACTGATATTGGTGAGGTTTCCTGACTTGTAGATGTGTAACACGGTGGCATCAGAATGATAGTTTTTCATGTCATCCACGCAGCATGAAAAGTCGATTGCAGATTTGCAACTGAATCCTATGTTAACCGGAGATCTGGCAATCTCGGACGTTTTGGCCCTTCTGAACACAGAAATTGTCTTGTTTGCTGTATTGTTTCCATTTACTTGGCAAATAAAAATTCCTGCAAGACAAAAAAAAGAAAGTTACAAGTTATAAATAAATAGCGATAAAAATAAGTATTAGGTCTCGTTCACACATGCGTTGAGAATTGACCCACACGGTCAACGCTTATTAATGCGCCTATAGCGTTAGCAAGGCATTAGCCAGGCATTTGCAAGGTGTTAGGGAGGGGTCAAAAACGCGAAGAAAATGCCCTTTCCCAAGAAATAATGATAAATTGATAAAATAATGATCAAAAAACAGCGTGGGGTTCCCTTCCCGGTCCATACCAGATCTTTTAGGTCTGGTTGAAAAGTTAGGAGGGACCCCTCCTCCCCCCCCAGTAACGAAAAAAAATGTGGATGGAGTTTCCCATAAAAGTCATACCAGGCCCTTTAGGTCTGGTAGGAATTTTAAGGGGGAACCCCACCCCCGAAAACAGGAGAACGTGGGGTTCCCCCTATAAATCCTACCAGACCCTTGATCCGAGCACAGGCCTGACAGGGCAGGAAAGGGAGGATGAGCAAGCGTCACGCACATTTTTGTAACTTGGGGTCCCTCCTATTGCAAAACCGCCTGTGAAACGCTCGTTTAATGCTTTGTCAATGCTCTGGAGAGCGTTGAACGAGGGTTTCAAAGGCGGTTCAATAGACCTCTATGGAGGCATTATTCCAGCGGCAATGCCTCCAGAACGCAACATGCAATCTATGTTTTGCCGCAACGCTGATGCCCATGTGTGAACTGCACTTTGCGGTTGCTATTGTTTTATCAGGCATGGGCACTAATAGGCAGCAGAGAGGCGTTAAAAACGCTTCTCCAACGCCTGGTTTTGCCGCACATGTGAAAGAGCCCTTACGGTTTTAAACTGCTTGCTTACCGTGGGTGTGCTAAGTACACACCCCAAAAATATAATCAAAGTACACAGGCCATAAGTGGCACGCCCTGTCACTCTTCCCCTGCTGCAGCTCCTTCGCCTCTATTGTCTGCAATTTCCAGTTGTCAAAATGACAGCACTGCCCTTTTGTCAGAGGTGGGGGAATAGAGGTAAATGTTAGTTTATGAAGCTGCAGGATAAAAGATTAATGGATCCGGTCCCGTGAATCAGTATGAGTGAGGTTCCAGAGTCGCTTGTAAGAATGGGTCAGGCAGACTGAGCAAAAAACCAGCATAGCTGTCAAAAAGCTATCAAAATGACCTCATCGCACACAGCCTCCGCTAGCGAGCAGAACGAGCTGAGCCAGAACTAGATGGTGGACTGGACTGTCATAAATAAAATGCAAAGTGCATAAAATTGCAAAGTATAAAAAAAATGGAAGATTATATAATGTACAGTATGCTCTAACTTATGAGAAGGATAAGGAGAACAAGAAGAGGAGGAAAAGTTGAAGAAGAAGAAGGTGAATGAGATGAAAGACGAAAAATAAAGAGAAGGAGAACTTAAAGGGGAAGGAGAAGAAGGAGAGGGAGGAAAAGGAGAAGGAGGAAAATGAAAAGCAGAAGGCAGAGAAGGATAAGGAGAAGAAGGAGAAGAAAACGCAGAAGGAGAAGCTGTATGAGACAGAAAATTAGATAGAGAAGAAGGAGAAGGAAGAGAAGGACAAGGAGAAGAACGAGAAGGAAAAGTCAAAGAAGGAGAAGTCAAAGGAGAAGAAGGAGAAAGAGAAGAAGGAGAAGTTGAAGAAGGAGAAGGAGGACAAAGTTGAAGGAGAAAGCGAAGGATGAGAAGAAGAAGAAGTTGAAGAAGGAGAAGTTGAAGGAGAAAGAGGAGGAGAAGGAGGACAAAGAGAAGAAGGAGAAGGAGGAGAAGCAGGACAAAGAGAAGGAGAAGAAGAAGCCGGAGCAGAAGGATAAGAAGTCCAAGAAGAAGAAGAAGTCAAAGGAGAAGGAGAAAGAGAAGGTGGAGAAGGCGTAGAAGAACATTTTGTGGTACTAATGCAGAAAATTCATAATAAATCATAACACATTATTGAAAATTGAAGATGAAAAACTAAATTCATATAATTTGATCTCGTTTATATCATTATATATACATGTATTAACTTATTTATTTTTATTTAAATATCAGATTTTTAACCCTGAGAAACATTAATGTGAAATCACTTGTGGAACAAGATTTGATGCAAATTGCTCTATGCCCTCTGTTAAAGGCCAAAACTAAAGTAAAGTAAAACTAAAACTGCTGTGTTAATGGTAGTGATGGGCTGAATCATATATGCTGCTTTTTTTTATTTTGTTCATAGTTCTTCTCTGTGCACTGTGTGAGATGTCAGTGCTATATAAACGGCGTCTTCCTCAATAGTTTCCCATAGTCTCAGTATTGCTACTCCCATAGATTAGAGTAGGAAATAGGGATGTTCAGATACCAGTGCCGATACTTGTCATTTCATGAGAACTACCAGCGTGGCAGACAGGGTCGGATTTACTCTCCCTGCCGCCCCAAGGCCAGGTTCCACAATACGCCCCCCCCGCGCCGCCAACCCCCCCTCCCCATCAATTGGGAATGGCAACCAGATGGCAGGGCGGCAGGGTTAGTTTCAATTTTGTTTTACTATTTCTTTATTTTTATCACTTTTTATTTTTTTATTCAAACCTCTGCCGCCCCGAGGCCGGGTGACAGCGGTTGCAGCTGGTACCGGGCTCTGGCGCTTCACCACTGTCCTGAAATCATTAGTCTGTATTGTTTTAGAAAAACTGTCACATGACACAGGGCACAGGACTTAAGGACAGTGCGGTCTGTCTCGCTGGGTAATTATCTATTAATTTCCTTTGGGCTTAAAAACGAGGCATAGTGCTTCGAAACGCGTAGCCATACTGTTTGACCACCATTCACATTACCCAGCGAGACAGACCGCACTGTCCTTAAGTCCTGTGCCCGTTCCCTAACGATCTGTCACAACGACTGCCGACAGTTCTTAAACGGCTACAGAGCGGCACTCTCGCTTCCGTTCAGTTGATGGGTCTCAGCCTGGCCAGCTGATTTCCCACAGCATCGGACGGCACGAACTATTTCACTGCATAGCCCGTTTACTAACAAGGCTACAGGATGGCAGATCTCCAGCTACAGGAGCCATCTAGCTGTCACTACCAACCATCCTCCATTAACATAATACTCTGAGCCCAGTGCAATATTCACACAGTCCAGCTGCAAAAGCCGGTTGCGACCCACGCTGATAGCACCAACCAGTCTTCACCGGCAGGACATTGCCACGTCAATCCAACAGTGAGTCTTGAATTGCAGTTATGATTATTAATTTTTATCATTTTAAGCATTATATCCTCTTTTAAACAAAAAAATTCCTGGGTTGTAGCACTTCTTTTCTGCTTTCTTCATATCCATTTACAGGGTCCCTCTCCCTGGTTTAGTAGCTCGCTCACCCAAACCCTCCTTTAATCATCCCATCGGTAGTGCGCTCACCTTCTTCATTGTTTTATCTTGATGTTGATATGTGGCTGCCACATATATGTAGAGGTGTACACAGTTTAGTCCTCTGCATTTGTGGTTATTGTAGAGTGCATGATTTATTGATTGCTGCCCACTGGCAATATAATAACATTTCTGGTGTTTCCAGGTTTATCTACTTACCATCCCAGTTCACTGACAAGCTATTGCTTGGGATTGTCAGGACAGAAGTACAGTTAGTCAGATTAGATATATAGTTTGCAGTACTAATGTTGGCGGACTGGTCATTTCTGATTAAATTCCAGGCCATACTCTGCACGTTGATAGTGTCACATTTACACGTTAAACTGAGGCTGTTCCATTCGGAAATCCGATCCGCGCTGGCGGTGATGTTGGCATGAACTAAGCAGACAGTAAAAGAGAATAGCATTGTAATAGTCATATATACAGTACCAGTCCTTATCCACAATACATTTCTAGCACTGGAGCCAGTAAGCACAAAGCCTTTGTCCCCCAAGGCTACAGCTGACCATACACCAATGCAGCAGGGTCTCTGCTTGGCTCTGCAGGGTCCCTGGTGGGCTCCGCTGGGTCTTTGGTGGGATCCATGGAGCCTCTGTTGGGCTCTGAGGGGGCTCTTAGGAGACTGGCTCAACACTTTCACATGGGGTCAACCATGTGCTGGCCATGATTAGAGCAACCTGGAGCTTCCTTTCTTTGCTCCCAGCAGCTGAACAGAAAGGGAACTGGAGGAAAGGTGAACATACTGTCATATGAGGGGAGGTTTAAAGCAAAGTGAATGTGCAAAGTACGAGTTAGCTTTATATCCTTCAACAGCCAGATTCACCACTGTCCGTAGGAAGCAGTCTTGGCCTCTTGAGTCTCTAGGATAGAAGGTATAGGAGAATATGATTATTATACACGGTGCTAACTGTCTGTTGCATGGGTTGACAATCCAGGACCTTGAATATCCACTGAATATCTGTAACGGCTCCATGATTGTGTATATCGATCTTATCATTACACTAACGGGTCCGCCTGCCAGGTGCAGTGCGGAATACTCTCCTGCTTGATAACCTCCCTATAAGTAATTGTTCCACTGTTACTATCACTCATACTTTGCTTACAACACCTCCTCCGTTACCCGCATGGTATAACCTACTGCTCAGGAAGACTAAAGACCCGAAGAGACCACACTAGTTATTAGGGCCAGGCAGGTAATCACTCTTTTGGGAGATTGGTGCAATGATGCGCAAAACCTAGTGGCGAGATTCATTGCTGCACAAGTACCCTTGGTCTTGGGTGTGTGACCCGGAACGGGGTTCCGCAGCTGAGCTCCATAGCCTCCCTTAGTTAGGGGTATTATAATATCCACCTGTGTATCACATACCCAAGTTAAAAGTTGTGGTTAAACATGATCATGTGTAGTCCTCAAACCACTATGGGGGCTATTCACAAAGGAGCCGAAGGATCCAGCCGTAGCTTCGGCCGATTCTGCCCTTCGATTTAGTCGAACTGAAGGGCTGCTGTATGGGCTATTCACAATAGCCTGTACAGCAGCCAAAGGCAGCCGAGCAGCTCAACCGCTTGCTTCAGCTCGACTGGCCTGAAGTGATAGCCAAAGCGGGGCGAACAGCCTGCCGAAGGCTGGCCTTTCGCCCCCGCAAATAACAGCTGAGCAGAGCCAGCCGTGATCTTGTGGCTGGCTCCGCCCAGTTGTAATGACAGATCAGCGTTCCCAAATGACCTGGGGACACTGAACTGTCAGTAAACAATAACAACTGGGCAGAGCCGGCCGTGACATCACGGCCGACTCCGCCCAGTTGTTATTCATCGGCACCGAGCCGAATGATCTATTCTCTCACTGCCGTTCTGCCCCTATGAGAATAGGAGCGAACGGCAGCGAGTGAGCTGCCGGAACTTCGGCTCAGCTGATCCAGATGTTGGATTGGCTGAGTCGAGGTCCTTCTGCACTTCGGCCCAGCCGAACCGAAGTGCAGCCGAAAGCAACCAATGTACGGCTGATTTCAGCTGATGTATGGCTGATATTAGCCGTACTGAGCCGGAGTGAATAGCCGAACGTTGTTTGGCTCACCTAACTTCTGCTGCGTTATTCACTCGGCTGCCTTCGACAGCTTTGTGCATAACCCTCTATATCTACCAGTCCAATAAGTGATGGCCAACTCCAGCCAAGATGACTACCAAATCCACCTGTGCATGGCCAACTTTACTGGTCCCATCCCATAATACGTACTTGTAGGTGGAGGGATTTGATAGGTTATTGTAATGTCCTGGCTGAGAAGAGCTCCATTATATGTTTTACAGGTACACCTGTAGTCAGCGGTCTTTGTCGAGGAGCACTGCTGAGAATTTGCCGCAATGGTGTAAGTTTGGCACGGTAAGGAGGATTCCCAGACTGTGAATCCTGTGGAAATAAAAAAAAGGAGCAGACATACTATAACTCATGTCACATTATGGGGTCTATGTATAAACAGTTCACAGAGCCATTGGCCCTGGCAATCTCGGTGAACGTTTGTTCTGTGTGTATGGATAAACAAACAAACTTTAATTATACATTTTTTTAGAACGTATTCTTTACATGCTATAATGTGATACCGCAATATGGTCACTAGGTGGAGCTGAAAAGCACAGAAAATAAGTATTTCGATTCTCCTCTGCTCCATCTAGTGGACATAGGGTGTTATTACATTATAACTCTAGAAAATATACTAAGAAGGCTGGTTTTTGTCTCTATTCCAATGTTCGCAAAGCTTCGCAGTGCAAATTGTTTAGAAATAGACTCCAAAGTATAACGGCTTCTAAAATTGTGTGGAATAGGCAAACACATTGCATATTGTAATGCTTATCTGAATTTTTGCATTAGGTCCAAGGAAACAGATCCTGTATAATATTAATGTGCATTTATTAAGCAAAAACAATGCATACATACAATCTGCAGTTACAGAGGAAAAATAATGCAAGGAAGAGTAATAGAAACAAGCATACATGCATGCACATGCCATCTATCCTGAACTAGCGAGTGAACATGGACTAAAGTCTGTAGTTCTAGCAGGAGCACACTTAGATACAACTTTTGTTAGCTCTGATCCATGGTTTACTTAGCAAACATGACTCAACTATAGGACATCACTAAGAATTTCATTCACCATTCCTGGAACAATATCAGGAACTCATTTCCTGCAATTGCTTCATGTGCAGAGTCCTGAAAATTGTGGACCAGAAAAGATAGAGGCTGAGAATCTTAGTGTGTTCCTATTGGAATGACATACAGATTATTGTCTATGTTGACTCGCTAGGTCAGGAAAGATACAGTACCTGTGTATGTATATTTGCATTTCTCTGTATTGTATTGTCTTCACCTGTAATTGTTAGTGCAGTCTTCCTTTAATGCATTGCAGTCAGTAATATAATATAATATTACTATATAATATGCATAATTTTTGCATAGCAAGAGTACAATCATACTCTTCTAGATTTGTATCTTTGAACTTCATGCAAGAATTAAGACAGTTTTGTCAATTGTTACACATATTTGCTTTAAGCAAAATGTTTTATGTTTTTTTTCTATTTATATAATGTTGATCAAAAAATGTTTATTCAGGGTTCACCCACGGCACAGGAATGACAGAGCAGTATATGTTTTCTAAACAGGCAGCAAAGCAGAACCCGTTTGCCTTTAGACCACCTCTCCCTAATTGAAACTTCAAATGGAGCCATCTATTCACATGAAAATGCATCTTGCTACAAAAAGCAAAAGCCGGCTGTTTTATATTTTCCCGGTTTGGAATAATTACCGTCAATGTTTCCGCTAGTTTTCTGGCAGGTGAGATTGAATGTCACGTTCCCATCTTTAGTGCAGCACTGCATGACTGGAACATTGCTGCTGTCACAGTTGACATTTGAGTTCAACTTATTTATCTCCAAAGTCCAAATTTGTATTGTTGTCTCTGCTGTATAAGTGTTGGTATTTACATCTACATCACACCGGTAGGTGCCTTGAAAAAAATAAAAAAAATAAACAAAGGTCAGGTGATTGTAGAAATAATAATTAGGGATACACCGATACCAGCTCAGATACCAGTGCCGATACTTGACATTTTCATGAGAACTACCAGGGTGGCAGCGGTTGCAGATGGGACCTGGCTCTGGCGCTCCACCACTATCCTGAAATCATTAGTCTGTATTGTTTTAGAAAAACTGTCACATGACAATAAACAAAAATGTATCAGTACTTTTTTTTTTCAATAAACAAAAATGTATCTGTGAGAACTTGGGCAAGTACCAGTATTTGGAAAAATGGTATTGGTGCATCCCTTATATATTTATAAAAATGAAATCATACATTAAAACAGAGATGTACAAATCCCCGGAGCTCCGTGTGCTCCTTACAAATGACAGCTGCCTCCTAACTTTTACATTTTTCTCTAGTCTTGGCGCTAGAAAAGTATATGTACATGTTCTTGTTCAGAGTACGGTACTTGGTATTGGTGCATCCCTAATAATAATGTAACATTTTGATTTAATATATACACTTTATTTATCCTTCCTTCAACCTCTCAGTAGTTAAAGCTGGACTATGAGCTAAAAACAAATAATACAATTGCTTGACTTCCCTATATTTCACATTTTTGCACATTTGTCGAATGTCAAGTTTCAAGTTAATGAGGGCAAATTTTTCGGCAAAACAACAGGTCCAAGACAGAAGGAAAGATCTTCCATAACTCACAGGAGCTATTTAAAGCCCACTGCACCCTAAAAAACACCATCATTTTGCTTTCCCTATTGACTTGACTTGACACACTTGACTTTAACGAAAAGGAAAATTTCATGATTTTTTTGCCAAAATGTCAGCGAAGTGCAACCTTTGCATTTAGCTCATCCCTATTCCACGGCACTCATGCATTATTGCTGGTTAGAGACCTACCTGCCCCTTTTGCCAGCTAATGAGAAAGAGAGAGACATGCCAAACAGTGAAAACAATTCTGTATACTTTTCTACTTACACACTTGTAGGGACTATAATTTTAGAACATCTCATGCTGACAGACTGGGTGAAGCAAAGTGAACCAGGATGGGACAAATGTTGTATATAACAATAATAAATGGGCCCAGTAATCCATACTGCTATATTAGATGACCATACTGTCTATTATACAATGTGGTTGTTTACACATGTACAGAATAAATGTTTTCAATGTACAGATCTATTACTAACTTTACAAGCCTACTGCATAGGCACCAATAATGAAAAGGTAAAGGTTGAGGCACTTGACCACTCAGCTGAGGTGGGGATTCTGGTGAATTGTACAGAAAATTCCCCTTAGGCAGCTCTACAGAGCATGAGGGCCAAGGGTTAGATTGTCATCCTAAATTCCCTTAAGGCACCTCTTTGGAGTCAGCTTGGCACTCTAATCTCCCTTTAGGGCGCTCTTCAGAGGACAAGGGCAGTTTGTCAGACTAAATTTCCTTGAGGTAGCTCGCTGGAGGACAAGGAGCATGGATCAGCTTATTTTCCCAAATTCCCTTTAGGCAGTTCTCTGGAGGACAAGGTCCATGAGTCAGCTTGTCATTCTAAATTCCAGAATGACAAGCAGCTCTCCGGAGGATGAGTCATGGGTCAGCTTGACATCCTAAATTCCCTTCAGGCTGCTCTCTAGAGGACAAGTACTGTGGGTCAGCTTGTCAGCCTAAATTCCTTTAAAGCAGCTCTCCAGTGGACAAGAACCATGGGTCAGCTTGTCATCCTAAATTTCCTTCTAGGTAGCTCTTTGGATGACAAGGGCCATGGGTCAGCCTGTCATTCTAAATTCCCTTTAGGCAGCTCTCCGGAGGATAAGAGTCATGAGTCAGCTTGTCATTCTAAATTCCCTTTAGACTGCTCTCTAAAGGACAAGTGCCGTGGGTCAGCTTGTCAAGCCTAAATTCCCTTTAGGCAGCTCTCCAAAGGACAAGGACCATGGGTCACCTTGATTCCCTGTGATCCTAAATTCCCTTTAGGCAGCTATCCGGAAGACAAGGTCCGTGGGTCAGCTTGCCATCCTAAATTCCCTTTAGGTAGCTCTTTGGAGTACAAGGGCCATGGGCCAGAGTGTATCACAGAGAAACTTTATGCACAAGATGGAAAGCATCAAGCATGTTGTATAGAGTCCTGAAAAGTTTTTACTGTATGTTTTATGCGCTAAAAGCCAACGTATTTTGGGGGTTCAGAAGGTCCCCTTTTAACAGGTCTGTAAGAAAAGTACAAGAAATAAATGTTTTTTTAAATAGGTCACATGGTCATTTATGGACCTATTCAAGATTTACAATACTGGGTCATCTCCGGACCATCATCTTATTTCTAGAAGTAGAAGGCATTGTCAGGGGAATATGTTGATCTCTTTGAGAGGTGATAAATACCTGCAAGTGATAGCATCTATGATTCTAGGTCTGCACTAAGACTGCACCAGAAAAAGGGAACTCTCAATCTTATTATACACAGAAATACAATATTTTATTGTTTCATTTTTAAAGGATAACCCCTTCAAACCAATAAAAGAAGAAAATCTTACCAGAATTATTAACTGATGCTTTCTCTATCTTTAGGACAGACTGGAGGCCACCGGCAAAGCTGGTTATAGAATATGACCAGTTTGAAGTGTTTGATATCTTCTCTGAGTCATTTATGTACCAGGAAACATCACTGAAAGCGGAGACATTGACTCTACATGTTAGGTTCACTGTGTCATTGAGGAAGATACCGCTTGGACTCACACTGATGCTGCCCCAGCCTACGAAAAGGGAAGAGAACAAGTCGGCTTGTGATTTTACAATATGGTCAACTTAACTAGCAGATGTTTAGCTTCAGCACGCACAAAGAGAAAGGACTGCTTTGCCCACCTTTGGAAGGATGATAGTTAATGAGGTGTCAGACTTTCTAGCACATCAGAAATTGGAGCCGTTTCCTCAAACTTGTTATGGTAAAGTGCAAAATTAAGTTGAGGTTGTTGATGCCTCTTTACTGTCTATGTTATGCAGCATATAACGCAGACTTTCTCAACCAGGGTTCCTCCAGAGGTTCCTAGGTAATCCTTGAGCATTTAGTAATTTCTAAATCTCAGATAAGTGGCCACTGACACCAATGATCCTTATAGGTATCTGTAAGGAAGGCATTCTTTTTATTGATCACCAATCTAAGAAGCCTTCTTCCTATTGACCACCAATGTAAGATTAATTCTTCCCAACGACCACCATGTAAGAAGCATTCCCCCCATAGACCACCAATGTAAGGAGCATAATTCCCACTGACCACCAATGTAAGGAGCATTCTTCCCACAGACCTCCAATGTAAGGAATTTTCTTCCCACTAACCACCAATGTAAGAAATGTTCTTCCCTCTGACCACCAATTTAAGGAGCATTCTTCTCACTGACCACCAATGTAAGGAAGGTTCTTCCCACTAACCACCAATGTAAGAAGCAATCCTCCTATTGACTACCAATGTAAGGAGCAATTTCCCCACTGTCCACCATGCTAATGTACTGTGAGTTGTAGGTATAGTCATTATCAGAAGGGGTTCTCTGGTATCAACATAATTATATTTTCAATTAAAACCTTTCAGTTTTAATCACTTGCCTTATGTGTAACGACACGTCATCACTGGGAGTCTATGCTTCTTTATGCATTGCAGACAGATCATGGCTGGTGGGAGGGGCTGGCAGGGCACTGTGATGTTTTCAAGATGCTATGTAAAGCACACTGCCGGCCCCTCCCACCAGCCATGATCTGTTTGCAATGCATGAAGAAGCAAAGACCCTCAATGAGCCTCTGTACTCCTCTCGAAAAGCCCTCAGACCTGATGGGAGGGGTTTTGCAAGCTCACAGTGTGCAGTGAAATCAGAGGAAGCAATTTCAGTCCAGCAGAGTAGACGGTACAACTGTGCAAGACCAACGGGAAGGCCGGAGTTCAGTTTTACAATTCCACCTCCGATTCCACTTCCGCCGATCCAATGTGAATATAATTTTCAGAAACATTGTATTTTAATTACAGGATAAAGACCTTTTTATAAAAAAAAAAAAAAGTTAAAGATCCCATTCCCTGCAGGCACCTGACTACTCACATGTTTCGGTAAAACTCCGCCCTTTTTCAGGAACCAACAAGTCAGCGCGGCTGAGAATGGTTTGATGTTTCCTACCATTTGCATACAACAGCCCCCAGCAAATATTCAATGCAACAAAGTGATACAATGTCTTACCCGGGACCACTGTGCTAACAGAAGCGGCTGTATAGTTGGTGCCGGATAGGTCTGATATCACAGCTTGATTGGCAGCGTTTATCGCATCCGGTGTGGTAGGCTCTGCGACCACGGTGTAGTCAACAATGACGCTCCCAGGTCTGAAATCAAACGGAAATGATCACCGTGTGCAAAAGCTAAAGCGAGAATACAGACAATTTTTTTATTTTGACTAGAGCGGGGACGCAGAATCATTATATTCTTTATGTTCCATGAACACGGTCAACCTTGGCTCCATGTAAGTATCCATATCTGATCTCGGAGGGGCCACTGGAAATGCTAAAAACCATTTTCATAGTCAGTGCTACAAGCAGCAATAGCCGTGAGCTTCCAACTGCAGCTCCAGTGGTTTCCCCTCAGCACAGGGAGTCGCTCGCTTGGCACTTAGATGAATGCAAGGCATTCTCTTTCCAGAAACAGCCGCACTCCAAAGGGGGCTTCAAATAAATCTTTATGGAGCAAATACTGTTCATACTGTTTGCTCCTCCCCATGTGTGCTCAACCCACTAACGCATTTCACCATTTCGGCTTGCTCATAGAATACTCATGTTCTCTGAGTAAGTAGAAAAGGTGAAATGCATTAGAGGTTATGCTATGGATTACTGAGGGCATTCTCTGGTTGCATAAGGTGGAGAGCCATCCACTGTTCCTCTCTACCTCATCCAATCCGAGAACCTGAAAACTCCCTGAATGGGGGCGATGCCGAACAAATAATTCCTTGTGCCCAGCATGCAAAGGGAAAGTCGCTGGAGCCGCGCCCGGAAGATCACGGCTATCACTGTATGTATTGTGAACTAATAAAGAGAATTTCAGCATCCCCAGTGGCACTCTGTATATCAGATGTGAATACTTCGTTGCATGTCATCCACATATTGGTATTTTGGGGCGTCTAAAGGTTACAGGAAAATCAAGGTAAAGAATTTCCTATGCTCCTCTGCTCCATCTAGTGGCAGGAATGCCATGCAAACAGCATATTGCCCAGGGGAAGATTTATAAATAGGCCTCATAAAACTTGTGCATGATCTCTAAAAAAAAAACGATTCTCTCTGACATGACGTCTCTGACATGCTTTAGGGACAGACGTCTCTGTCTTATTTGCTCGCTGTTTGTTGCAGCACATGCTCGTTTCACAATATGAATTTGCAATATGAAGAGCGGGGATGCGCTCAGGTCTGGACCGAACCTGAGCTCCTCCAAACAAGAATGCGCCATGATCCCCATGGGTTCAATCAGCTGTGGGCTGGGGCATTTCCTGCATGTAAACAAAGGGGCAGGGTGCTTGTGCTGACATCATTTACCTTATATAGCCATAAAAGGTAAATGTAATTTATGAAATACAGGCATGTAGCCATATAAGGTCAATGATGTCACTGCATCCCGCTCCTTTGTTTCATGCATGGACAGGGAATTTCCCTCTACTTTCCTTCCATTCTCAGGAGGAGCTCCTTCTCGGTTGCAGTAACTCCGGTTCAGACCCAGTTCAATCCAAACCTGAGCTTCCCTTTCTGGAATATGGGAGCACTACGTACTCGTAATAACAATTTCTTACCTGAAACCGGTAATCGTTGCCGACTTGAAGCCAGAAAGCACTCTGTAAGTCGTATTAAACTGGAGAATAAACAAAATGGCAACTTAGATGTAGATATAGGGTCAGACTTTACTGTAAAACATATGAAAGAAATAGGCAGCGGGAGTTACTTCGCAGTATACCAGATACAGACAGTGCTGGCACTGCTGGGTAATCGCTCCAGGTGGGACTTGACTTGATAAAGGGGTAAAACCGCAAAACCTTGACGGTACACCGTACACCCCTGCCTGCATCTGGGTGCCAGTTGCTTAAATATCTCCTTACTATTGTGATCTGGTATTGTATATTTTATTCATGCACCCTCTCCACTTTGGCATACTGACTTTTTAACGTACCATTTGATATAGTTTGGGGGTACACACCAATTCGATGTAGTGAGTTGTAATAATGCAGTATGGCCACTAGATGAAGCTGGGGAGCAGAAGAAATATTTATTTTCTCTGCTCCATCTAGTGGCCATAATGTGTTGTTACAACATGCTACATTGAAACTAGGAAACAAAATTATATCCAGACCATTAGTTTTCAGCATTATTCACCCAAAATGAATGTTTACAGATATTTGCAGGCTGAAGGACCCTCCAAATTGTTTATTAGTAGACCCTTTTGTGTATCACATCACTTCTTTATGGATCAATAACAAAGGGGGAAAATAGAAGAGCTGTGCTGCTGTTATCTGATAGGTCTTTTACAAAAAATTAGCATTTTATTTTAGTTTCTCTCATCACAATGGTCCACTTCAAGGATGGTCAGTGAAAATCTGCAGCTCAATGGTGTTTATTCAGAGCACCGGCTGCAATAGTTTTGGAGTAGCATGCAGGCGATCGATTCCAGCCCATGACTGGTATACTGAGACCTTATCAGACACCTAAGGGGTTACAGACAAGCACTTGGGATGGTTATGAGAGGTGGATCGGAGGTAACCAGAGTATCAGAGCTCTGCATATGGTGGTGGGATGGGGGTAGGGAAAGACATAATGGTGATATTACCTTTTTTTAAAGTAGCAGTGACATCAATATAGTCTGTGCATGGGGCAAAGCTGTATGACATTTCCATGCCATAATACAACTTTACTATCTGAATAACTGTGTCATACTCTTTTCTTTGAATAGTCCTATGGAGGGTCCAGCAGGGGGTGTGACACTATTCCCCAGAATAAATGAAGGCTGAAATAGAGGGTGGCGCCCTGGACAGCCTCCCACTGGAGTCATAGAGGGTTCCAATAAGATTGTGTCTGATTGAACCTGCAGAGATCCACTAAACTTTTTGGGATCTTTCACCCTTTAAAAGAGAACTAACCTTTTTATCCCATAGTTCTCTCAAGGGTCACGGGAAGACATTTCCTAACGTCCTCCCGTGACCCAAAGCTCAGTATATAGCGGGCTATTGCCCGCTATATACTGAGAGTGCCACAGCCGGAACGGATGCCGACAATACTGTCGAGATCCAACCCAGCTGGCTGATTGACAGCTGGCCCTGCCTATCTAGAGCCAGCTGTGCCTTCTCCCCTTCCGTTCATCCATTCAGCGCTGGGGGATCGGAGCAGGGAGAGGTGAGTGACAGTCACGGTTCTCTGCAGGGAGATGATCGAGAAGTGAGCGAGCGACGGTATGTGTTCACTCACTTCCCGATCAAAAGAGCCGATTTGTAACGGATTCATTGTCACTCGTCGGCTCCAACTATAAGGATGAGTGATTTTTACTCACCTCATAGTTCTCCTTTACAGTCCATTCACACCAGGGCGGCTGCGGATCAGCACGGTTCCCGCGCTGATTTCAAAAGGGAGGTTTGGGGTATTTTTATTTGCATTTCAGCACTGATCAGCTGACTCCAGGGAGCAGTTCGCGCGGGAGGAGGTGCGGATCGCGCCGAGCTGTGCGGTCGCATGAACGGTCCCCATAGCAATGTATGGGATCGTTCATGTCGGCGGATCCGCGCGGCCAAACTGCCCCGGTGTGAACGGGGCCTTAAATAAGTCAAATCTAAACACCTGTTTTAGAAACAATGAGGGGAACGTATCAAAACGGGAGCAGACAGAATCTGGAGCAGTTGCCCATGGCAACCAATCAGCTTCTCTCATCAGTTTGTTCAGTTAAGATTTGAAAGAAGCTGATTGGTTGCCATGCACAGCTGCTCCAGAGTTTGTCTGCTCCAGCTTCGATAAATTCCCCTCAATCCTTATAGTCAATCACAACACAGTAAAGCAATGTAGTTGACGCCTCTAACTGGGGCCATATAGAATTTCAGCGCGATGGGTCATCTTATACGTATTCATGTCACCTGTGTATATAAAACATACCTGATTCTCCAAGAAGTGTTTGTACTGTTTGTATTTGGCTGAATTTTGGTCCTGTAAGTCGGGTGTAAATTCATTCACGAGCTTGAGGCTCAGGTTTATATTGACTGTAGAAGAAAGTATACAGCGTGTCAGGGAATTATATCGTGGATGATACAAGGCCCTATAGTGCATAGTATTACATCCATAACATATAACTTGTGTTACTCGGTATATTGTAGACTGTATAGCAGTGCAGGTTGTATGAAGAAACAGATGGTGATGGACTTGATATATGGTACCAGGGACTTAACCACAGAACATGGGACCCCATGGCAAAAATTTGATGTGGGTCCCCCTGACAAACTCTCTCTGACCGGTAATGATCCCAAGATCCCAACAGTCGCCTCAACACTGTAGACTTTACCGGGGACTGGAGATGTCGTCAACTGCAACCACTCCAAACCCCTAATGATACAATAATGTATTATCTTCACTTGTTTTATGTTTAGCTGCCTAATGGGGTCCCCTTCCACCCCCAGGCCCCATTGCAGCCACCTGGGCTTGCTATGGCTATAGTTACACCACTGTATGGGCAAACTCATATGTAGGCTGCCATAGATGACTTTTAGTGGTTGCTTGGTTTTCATGGTGATTCTCTGGCTTCAGTATTTTTCTCGAGTCACTGACCAAGCGCTAGCATAGAGCAAGTATAATCACCACCCTGATCTGCAAATCCAGTTACTGTCTACATCCAGTTACCTTCAATCTGTCACTTTTAGGTCCGAAGCAAGGGACCAAGATGTACTCTGAGGAAGCCGGATTTAGACACAAGTCTATGTATGTCCACGTGCCCATGGGCTAACCTTGAGCGGCCATGTACAAGGGCCCTAACACAGGGGGTTAGCTCCAACATTTCATGGCAGGTTTGAGACTACCCTTGCCTCTTTCCATAATGCTCTTGCTACTCTCCAGTCAACACACTCCGCTCAAAAAGTTGTGAAACATCTCTAAGAAATTCAATAGGGGTAACTCGCTTGGGTTCTTTTAGGCTAGTAGGGTGAGGAATGGACAAAGCGTCACATACCGGTAGGTAGGTAGGCCCCATGACTTTTGAGTCACTCAACTGCTCCTGCATCTACTATGACCCTTGTTTGCCATGTCACTAAGTATTTTTGACCCTTGTATGTATAGTACAAGTATTGGATCCAATTATTTGATTCTCACGGTACCGGATCATACATGCACACTTACCTGTTAGAGCCTGGCAGTACTGGGGAGGAAATGATGTGCCCGTGATGCAGCTGCAGGCACTGGCACCGGGGCATTGAGTGTACGTTGAACACACATCGGATGACCACTGATACCCGCTTTCACAGGAACACTGCACATTTGATCCTGTCTGGTTACAAGCTGGCGGGAAGTAAAGGAAGAGTGGGATTCAATACAAGAAGCATACAGGTGAAACTCGAATAATTAGAATATTGTGCAAAAGTAATTGCAGTAAGTGCTGCAAAAGGGGCCCAAACCAAGTACTGAGTACATATGCATGCTTGTACTTTTCAGAGGTCCGATATTGTTCTATGTACAATCCTTGTTTTATTGATTGCATGTAATAATCTACTTTTTTGAGGTTGTGGATTTGGGGTTCTTGGGGTTTTCATGAGCTGTAAGCCATAATCATCACAATTATGACAAATCACGGCTTGAACTATCTTGCTTTGCATGTAATGAGTCTATCTCATATATTAGTTTCACCTTTTAAGTTGCATTAGTGAAATAAATGAACTTTGAACGATATTCTAATTATTAGAGTTTCACCTGTATAATACACAAAACGGAGCCGGCTTAGATGTGTCGAGCCTATTTAATGTCTTCAATAGCTGGCCCTGTCAGACATGCAGAGGCTTTAAGAAGAAGGGTGCTCTCATAGAGAGCAATAGAGGACTCTCTTCACATCTGTAACACAGCTCTGCCATTGACATCACATTAAACATCCTTCATTATGACCCCTCCCCCTCTTTTTTAGCTGAGACAACACTGTTTTGGATTAGCAGTCATACACAGGCAGGGCCGGCCTTAGGCCTTTAGGTGCCCTGTGCGAGAAAGCTCTACAGCGCCCCTCAGTGACCACACCCCTCAGTGGCCACACCCATTTCTCCAATATCTGCACCATTCAAAGACTCCCATTTTGGTAAGCCCCAAAGAAACATATTAAAAAGTATGATAAAAATAAAACTTTTATTTAAAGGTATTAAACTTGTAGGCACAATATAAGTATTCTTATCAAATAAAACAACAGAAGACAAACAATAAATGTCAAACTAAAATAGAGTCTATTAAAATAAAGTGTCGGGTTGTCATGCCGACCCCTTTCTTCAAGTAAGTGTATCTAGAAAAGTAAAAGTAAAAAACAGAACACAAAACCCAGACTACATGTAAAATTAATGAATTACTATTTGCCCGAATATATATGAAAAATGTATTCAGGCGCATAATAATTTGTTTGAGAATGTGCGGCGGCCATGTTGGCCACCGGCACGTTCTGTGAATACCATCTTAGAGGCGGGGAGCATGATGTCACATGACGCCATGCATGCGTGGCATCAGGTGATGTCACACGCCGATACAGGCACCGCCATCTTGGTGTATGCCTAGATATACACCAAGATGGTGGCGCCCAACACGTGCGGTGTTATATGACGTCATGCGCCCTGCCTTCAGAACACGCCAATGGCTGAATCCAAAATAGCAGAAATATTTGTTTTTGTTTGATGAAACGAATGAAAAAAATGTTTTTAGTTTTCGTTCATTTCATCTGAAAATACATTTTTAGACTTTGCACATGTCTAATAATACGTGTGTGTGTGGGGGGGGG